GAGCAGTGCCTTCATCCCACACCCCTGAGTCCTGACCACTCTATTGGCCCAGGTTAATGGGCAGCCCAGTTTCAGCAGACCCAAAGGCCAGTGGGGCACAGCTGGGGCACAGCTGTGTCTGTGGCTCCTGCTGAGGGCTGAGCCAGCTGCTCCTGAGCTGCAGCTTCTGAAGTCCAAGACAGGGATTAGGGAGCATGAGCCTTGCATGGTGGCTTGTGTGACCTTTCCCAGCATCATCTCTCCAAGCTCCGTGAACATGGAGCAGCAGACATGTCCCTGCTGCCTGCAGAGCACCCAGTCAAGCCCTCAAATCCCACCCAACAGTGTCTTGTGCCTCACATCCCTTGACTGCCCTGTCCACTGCCAGCCCCACACTGCTCACAGACCCCAGAACACAAGGTGCCCAGGTGTGCTGTGGCTTTTACAGGTGGGTCCATTATCCCACTGCACCCACTGCTCTGCTCCAGCCCTCAAAGGCTTTGGGTGTCCCTCCTGCAGGAGCCAATGACACCTCCCATGGCCACCACTGCCAGGTGCACACAGTGATGAGGACAAATGTTTGCATCAGCTCGGGACTTCGGCTCAGTTTTTGTGTATATAAGGCAGAACTGGTTTTCCTTTTTATTTTTAGGCATCAGTGAAAATAAAAACGAGCAGGAATCCTGCGTGCCACAGGTTTGTTGCCATCCCTCCTGGCCCACGGTGTCATGGCAGGGGAGGGTGCTGGCTCAGGAGCCACACTGGCGCCGACGCCCCTGAGCGCAGCCCAGGTCAGGAAGGGTGTCTTGGGGCAGCAGCCTTGCCCATGTAGCACACACTGTGCCCATCCCACAAGGGCATTGCTGGCGGTGTCATGGCTCATATCGTGGCTTGGCGCTGCCACGTCTCATTCCTTTGGCACCAAGAGGGATGGCAGTGCTGGGTGACCCAGCGGCTGCAGACTCTGGAGACAGCAGGGAAAGGGTGAGGCCGTGCTTGGGCTGGCAGAGGCCAAAGAACAAGGCCAGCTCCCATTGGCGCCTCCTGGTCTCTAATCTCATTTTATGGCTGTCGATGGGCTGAATATCCTCCTTGTCCAAGATGAACAAACAGAGAACGAGGATGTGAGATAGTGCCTGGGACAGCTGGCATTGGTGCCCAACTCTCTCCCCTCTCCATCCCAGGAGTGTCCCCCCGGTCCAGAAGGGCACTGAGTAAGGGGTTGCCCTCAAATCCCTACCCAATATGGCTTGTCCAGCCCCAAAACTCCTTCCAGTGCCAAGCATTGCCTGAGAAGAGGTGGAGATGTGTGTGCCAAGGTGCCAGCGCAGGGCAGGTGGCTGTGGAGGGACACCTGAAACAGGATAAAGGGTGGAGGAGATGGAGGAGTGGGAACAGGATGAGGTGTCATTGCAGAGAGAGGGACAGAGCAAACGGTTTGTTCCTGTAATTGCAATAGCAGCTGCACCCACCACTGCACCCTGGTGACCCTGCACTCACCAGCATGGTGCCAGGCTGCCCATGGCATGGGACCACCACCTTTCCACACCCTTGCAAGAGGACATGGAGAATCAGGAGTTAAAACAGGCAGGGGGAGGCAAAGACAATGGAGCTGGTGCCACATAGGAAAGGGATAAGACTGGATGGGCCACCTGCCTGAAGAGCTGGGCTGGGGAAGGTGGAGCCATTTCTGTGTGCAGACTCCAGCATGGTCACCATGCCAGGGGCTGGCTCCTCCACACTCATCATCCTCCCTCAGTGGGCTTTGGCTGCCTTTGACATCCAATTTTGTCATTGCCACAGGGAGACCAGCAGTGGGATCCTGCTCTGGCAGGGGATGGGGTGATGGCAACCCAGCATGGGCATCACTATTGTCTGCAAGGGGTGAGCCTGGGGAGGAACAGAGTCCTGGGGGGATGAAATGTGCATCTCCCAAATTCACCTGCAGTGTTGGGTTGCCTGCAGGTAGGACAAGGGGCCAGGACAGAGGGAAGATGCTTTGCCGCCCGCCCAGAGAGGCTGCGGGTGCCATTGACAGGATGAAATTCCAACTGATACCCTAATCTGGCGCCTGCCTGTTTGCACAGCAGGGTAAAAGTCCAGGGAGCCGTGGGCTGTGCCCTTGGGTCCCTGCCACCCGTGTGTGCACAGGGAGCCGGCGCTGGCGGGAAGAGGCAATAAATGCGCCCACACACCCAGTCACCCCTTCCCCCTACACACACACACGCCCCTTGACCGGGTGACGAAATGCATCTGCTGCGTCCCCACTCCCATGTCCTCCCCTGCCGCCCTGCATCTGCCGTTTGGGCAGGGATGGGCAAACCCTGCAGGGTCCCCGCTGTGCCAGGAAAGGGGCCGGTGGACACCATGTGCCCATCAGCTTTGAAACCTTTGATTCCAACCTCCTGGACATGTGTCACCCTGACGGTTGCACCCCTGGCAGGTGACTGACACCTGGTTTCAGCACCTGCAGCAGCTGCCTCCTGAGTCATACGTCCCCACATGGAGCCTGGTCCTTATGGGGACAGCCTGCCCTCATGGCCAGAGGATCCTGGGAGATGTCCCCAGCAAGCCCCTGCAGTTTCTTCCTCTTCCTTCCTCTGCGCTTTTCGTCAGCTCCTGCTGCCCAGCTTCACTCCTCCTTAGAGGAATCTTGAAATCATCATCAAAATAAGGCCACACGCAGCAGGTGGCCGAGCACACCACCGTCCCACAGCATGGCACACTTCCCAGCAGTGACTAACCAGAGCACCACTGCTGCTGTCGCCTTCCTCCTGTCTGCGCCGCAGATCTGGGCACAGTCCCATCTTGCTGTCAGCCACCTTCTCGCTTCTTCCCGGGTGGCTGCCCCTCAGATGTGGGTGGGCTGCCCAGGCAGGGTAGGCAAGGGTGTTTCCCCAGCCTATGTTCCACCCTCTCCTTGCCCACCAGGCAGTGCCAGTGTCTGTCAGTTCTGCAGCACGACAGAGAGACAAGTCTTTGCTTTCCCTGCTGTGTCTGTGCTTCGGCCCAGGAGAAGGGAAAGGTTTACTTGATGTCCCAGGGGTGGCTCAGAGGTGGGGTGGGAGGAAGCAACGCTTGCTAGAAAATGCTTGCAAGCCCCGTTTGTGCTCCCTAGTGCCAGCTCCTTGAAGATCAGGGCATGCGAACAGCTGTGCAGTACCCTTGTACTCCTCCTGAGCTCTCCTGGGGTTTTGGGGGTCCCTGGACTGCACTGCTCTTTCTGGTTCCTACTGCCTCTGGTGGGTGCTGTTCCATGGAGTGGGCTTCTTGCCAGCTCCAGGGCAACGCAAGACTTGAGCCAGCCATGTAATGAGACCCTGGAGCACCCCAGGTGCCTGGGGTGGGACCTCTACTCCCTGGTGGTCCCAGGCAATGGAGAGCTGATGGTGCTCTCAGAGTAGCACCAGACAAACCAGAAAAGGGAGCTCCAGATACAGAGCATCCCAGCAGCAGCAGTGTCATCATGGACATTTCAGGGCAGCATCAGCCCTGGATGTCTCTGCTGGCAAATACTGCCCTGGACACAAGAAGATGAGGGCTTGAAGTCCACCCAGGAATGCTGGGTTGTTTGTACAGAGTTCAGTCCATGCTGGTGACACAGGACTGAGACAGTTGTAATAAGGTGACATTAGTCTCTCCTCTCCCATGTCACAGAGATGGTCATGGGATGCTTCTCTTTAGGTGGATCCCAAGGGAAAAAATCAAAGGGCTGATTCAGATTGCACTGGCACGAAAGGCAAATAAAGCATCCCTGCCCTGCATGAAGGGTGAGGCAGGGACAGTGCCTGATGCAGCCCCTGGGTGTCAGCCTGGCCAGCTCCAAGCTCTGCATTCCCAGCCAGTATCCCGGGAGAGGGAGAATTGATGGGTGAGTCCACGGCAGGTAAAACCTGCCTGGGTGAATTCCCAAAGACCTTTTCATTTTTGAGGAAGCTGTGAGTGTGTAAAAAGAGATGTTTGTTAGGTTGTGTAGTTTGTTCTTTCCTCCTTTCCCAATGGGAAATATCGGTAAATATTAGCTCTGAAAGACCCACTGTGCAAATGCTGAGCCACTTCATCATGTTGGATTCTGCAGAAATGTGTCTTTATGCTCAAGATCCGTTTCCTTTCAGAGAAAATTTTCAGAAGTGCTTAGAGGGCTCCAGGAGCACAACTCCCATTCAATGTGATGGAGATTTGCTCTTACATCAGGCAGGCTGGGTCCACTCAGTCCCAGCTCTGTTGTTGTCCTCCTCATCCCCAGTGCTGCCCACTCAGCCTTAAACCTGAGCAAAGCAGCTGGGGAGAGGTCTGGGGCATTTTGGAGCCCATAGGGCATTTGCAAGGAAAAGGGACATACACTGCCTGATGAACTGGGCAGGGAGGAAGTGATGGACAAGTGAAGGAAACAGGCACCACTGTGGGTCCTGAGCTCTGCTGGTCCCACACTGGCCCTGGGGCATGCAGAGTTGTCCCTCCTTCCAGCCATGCAGGAGACATTTCCCACCAGGAAAGTGGGAGAAGAAGGCACAGACCAGCTCTCTGCTACCTCATAGGGAATTTGACAGAACTTGACGGGGAAAAGCCCACATCTCCCTGGGCTTTGGTGCTGCAGTATCCCACTGCTGACTCATCTGGACCCTGGAGATGTGGCCTGTGCTCCAGCATTGGGCCCACAGTATGCTGGGGTCAGTCACTCACCCTGGGGACTGCCCAAGGATTGCTCTTGCCCCCAGCATGGTGGGATGTGCTGGTCCTACCCAAAGGCTGTGGAGCATCCCTCCTCCCTTCTCCCGGGGCCAGGGACTGGGCTCAAGCACCATGGGAAGAAGGCAATTCTGACCTGCTCAGGCTCCAGCTGTGTCCTGCCATAGGAAAATCAGCTCAGAGCTGGACAGGAAGGTGCTGTGAGCTTCTGGCATCTGCACTCGTGCTGCTGCCACCGCTGCTTGGGGCACGTGGGGTGCTCAGTGGCAGAGTGCCTGCAAAGTCAGGTCCGTCCCTAGGGACACCTGATGCATTCGTGGCATGAGCGAGGCAGCAGCCGTTCCCCCTTGCTGCCCAGGTCGGGGGCTGAGGTCCCAGAGCCCCCCTTTCCCCGCCAGGGGTGCGTTTGACAGACAGACCTCCCTCCTCCCTCCCTGCTCCGCACGCAGCCATCCTCCACTCGAGGCAAACCTTTCCTCCAGCCTCGCTCCTGCCGTTCCCCAGCTCCCCCCGGTAGCAGAGGGACACCCTCCGTGCCGGCCGTCGCTTCCCCTCTCCCCCTCGGCCCTCCCCAGCGCCAGAGAGAGCGAGACGAAAAGTGTCGGAGCGGGGAGCGCATAGCAACAGGGTCTGGCATGAAGCAGGTTCGGCAGCAGCATCTCCGGAAGGTGAGAGCCGGGAGCGGGGGTGCCCCGGGGATAGGAGCCGGGGAGCAGGGGTTACCCCCGGGGGGTGAGAGCCAGGAGCGGGGGTACCCCTGGACTGGGAGCAGGGAGCAAGGATACCCCCGGGCTGGGAGCGGGGAGAGGGGGAGGCATGTCTGTCGCCCTGCATCCTGTCCTCGGGAGCCTTCGTGGGCAGCCGACAGGGATTAGTCGGATATTAGGGGATAGTGTCCGTGCGCGGGGACAAAGCGGGACTGTGGGCAGAGGGATGGGGCGTTTCGTGCCCACTGCTCCTGCCCTCGCCCTCCCGTGCCAGCAGGTGCTGCCGGCGGTGGGTGACTCATGTTGTGTCTGGACAGACGCCGGGGGTGGCACCGGGGGCAGAGCTGGCTCCCCGCAGCCTGGCACCCCGGGGACACTGCTCCCACCAGCCCCCGGGCTCGGAGCGGGCGTGAGGGGTAAGGGATGAGGAGTCCCACACAGGGAGCTGGGCAGTGACTTTCCCACCTGCAGCTTGGATTGCCTCCTCATCCTCCCCCGCAGGATTTAAAGGGGGCTGGGTGGTGAGGGGCCAGCTGAACACTGAACTCTGGGTTCAGGGCAGAGCTGACAGAGCTACAAATCCTTTTTCCATCCTGCTGGAAACCCTTTTTAAGCTCAGCTGTCAGGCTTTCCCATCCCAGGCTCCCCTCTGCTACCACTTTGCTCTTACAGCCTCTCTGAGTTACCATTTTCCCCCACTTTGGGGACTTTCTCGTGCCTGTCCCCCTTGGGGACATGGTGGAGCAGGGTGGCAGAGGGTGTCAGCCACAGCTTCACCATAGGAATGCACTGCTGCTGCCAGTGGGTCAGCACTTCCTGGAGCATCCCAGGCAGTGACCCAGGGCTGGGAGCCACTTTGGCTCTGCTCTCTGCCAATCCATGCCCATTAACCACAGGGCAGGGTGACTCCAACCTGTGCCAGCATCCTGATGAATGAAAACCCAGGAGAGTTTCATCACTGCCAGGAAATTCCTAGGATATTGAAACATGACGTAAAAAAGCCAGCAGTGGCCTGGTGACAGCCAGCAGCTCTTTGCTGTTTCTCCACTGTTTGGAGGCATTGTCTGGCTCTTCTCTCTCCTCCTCTTTCCTACAAATTGCTTTTTCAGATGTCTTTGTGACTGCAAGATCCACTAAAAGTTGTCTTTGTCCCTTCCGATGGTTTTCTGAGTTACTTGATGCTGGTGATCCTGTTTAGCATTTATTCAGGAATTCATTTAATCCCATGGCAATCAGCTGGGATGGAAAGCAGATGTCTCTGGAGTCATTTTCTCCATTCCCAGTGCTGCTCAGAGCCCTCCATCCACCATTACCCAAAACCACTTGCTGAGCTCCAGAGGGAAAACCTGGTGCTCACAGCCACCTTGGGACCAACGCTGGCATTGGGCTTGCCTGGAGCTGGCGGTGGCTGATGGAGAGATGTGCCCATTCCAACTGCAGCACCCACCCAGGACCCTGAGAGCCTCCTCTCCCTCTCATTATGATCCACTTCCCATAGGCGAGTCAGGAGTTTTAAGCTTTCTCACCAGACATGTTTTAGATATATGAAAATGCCTCTTTAATGGAAAAGATCTTTCCCAGGCTCTAAGGACTTCAGGTTGGCTTTTGCATAACGGTATTTCCAGAAGAGCTGAGTGGATGTTTTAATTTGATTATTTGCTTTGGAGGGTTATTTGGTAGAAATGGGCTAAAGCCCATGGGAGCCAGTGGTGGGAGCCATGGTTTGGGCTGTCCCTCCTCATATCCACAGAGCATCCTCCTCCTGCCTGAGCCACTGCCCTCCTCTGCCTGCCACAAACTGCCTCAAAACTTCCCCAGGGTTTTTGAATGAAAGACCATAAGCGTTTGTATCCATGTGTACCCTCTGAACTTTGGACATCACTGTAATGAGTTTGCTTCAGCCTCAGCCATCTCCAGCCCCCAAAGCCCCCTGTGCTGACTCCACCATGTCTTGGGAGATGCCATGGGCTGGGGGCACCCATGGTCAGTGCAGCCCTTCAAGGGGCTCTCCCACACCACAGCGATGCTTTATTTACTTCACTTTCTAAGTGATATTACATTTGAATTAATTTTTATGCTGTTCTGTTGGTTTTTTTCTCTCGGAGATTAACAAGCAATTCGAGGTAATCTGAAGTGACTCACACTTTAGAGACTCGCTGTGCTCAGATCCGCAGGGGAGAAATCTGGCACCGGGTGGCATTTCTCCCAATCAAAGGCTGTGATCCATGCACAAAACACTGGCAAAATAACCCCACAATGCCAGCTTGAGCAGAGACAAAATACGATGAAAAAGTAACTTTGATCTGGCTGGTTTTTTCATGGATGCAGCTGAGTTTTGGACTGGTTTAAGTAAATTGGTTTACAGAAAATAATTAGCACAGGGATTGTCTTACGGACGTGAGCTCTTATCTTGGCAGAGATTAAAGTGCTTTTTTTCTTTTCTTGGTGACCTTTGATTTGCTGACTTCTTTGGGAACATCTTTTGGTGAATAATGAAAAGTGATGCTGTGTTCAAAGAGGCCGTGGTTGCCAAGGGAGCTGTTGGTCCCCGTCTGTTTATAACCGCGAGACGGGAGCCCGGTTTGAAGGATGGCAGTTGACGGTGGAAAGCACTAGAGCAATATTGTAGCACTGGAGCACTTCAGCTGCTGCTGAAAAAGAAAATTCCTGTTATGACAGAGGCTGAAAGGGAGCAATAATCCTTAAAAAAGGATCTGGAATCGAGCCGGTGTGTGAGATTTCCAGCAGTCTGAAGTAGGGAGGTGTGCTTTTCTCTGCTATTTGGGACAAAGATGGGCTAGAATCCTTAAATACTGTGCTTTGCAATTCATTTTAAGCCAGGCAAGTAGGCCAGTTTTTCTGTGATTTCTATGGAAAGGCTGAGATTTGGGGCGTTTTTGAGCATTCTGGTCATGGAGCAGCCTTTTTGTGTGTTTTCCAGCAGCATTCCTGGCCTGTGCCTCCCGAACATCCCCGGTGGGGACCACACTGTCACTGTCTTCAGGGTCTACCTGATGCTTGAGCAGTCTCTGCATTCTGCTGTGGGGTATCAAATTTAAACTGCAGAGCTCCAGCTAAAGATATTATAAGGGGGACAGTTATCACAGAGACACAGGTGACAGATTACATCCTACGGCCCTTGAAAAGGGGACTGAGATGGAGACTGGGCCATTTACAGATTGGAAAAGGTCCAGTTTGTTCCTTTCTCTTTTTGTTGTTGCTTCTGTGTTGATTTCTGTGCTGTATCTGATGGATGGGCACGGCATGTAATCAGCTCTTGCAGCTCTACCTGTGCCCTCTCGTAGGTGTTTAGGATTCAGACAGAGATGCAGGAGTCAGGCAGAGGATTTAATGATCTCCCAGCATCCCTGCTTGCTGGTTTTCTGTGATGCAAACCTGGAAAACAAAAGCTCCCCTGAGGCAATGTGATGGACAGGGAAGCATTTTGGGGGGAAAGACCCAACTGTGATGGTCCCCACTGAGCAGGGGCATTTGAATAAAGGTTTTATCTGCTGAAACTTTTGGGAAGGTGTTGCGGAGCAGCCTGTCCATCCCCTGCAAGCAGAGACAGCTGCAGGTCGTGCCTGCTGTGCGTGCTGGGCTAATTAGCAGGCACGGCCATGGCTTGGAGATGTTGCAAAGCCAGAGAGCTGTGTTGAACCGCTGCAGGAGGGCTGCCAGGTAGCAACAGTTTTATAGCAACAGTATTATATTTAGGCCATATTTTGACTTTTCAGCCCGTGTTTCTGAAACTTTTTCTTCTGGTCCTTGCCTTGTGATGGTGGCATCCAGTGGGGATGGGCTTTTCATGGAGGGGTTTGGTGTTATGGCTTTGCTGGGGCTGTGTGTTTCAGGTTGGCTTTGGGAAGAGTTTGCCCTGGCTTGTCCTGTCCCTCAGGGGGTTTTCACACCAGGTGGGGACGGGGGTGAGTTCACCTCTGTGTTTGGTGCCTTTGGGCTGCAAGCAACACGTCTGCAGTGCCGGTGGCTGGGGGTGTGGGGTGCACCCTGGGAAGGGTGGGAGCTGGAAGCCCTCACCATCGACAGCACGGCTCAGTGTCTCCATGGGAACTGGCAGCAAGAGCATCCTCCAGTCCAGTCCAGCCAGAGAGGAGGAGGAGGAGAGCAGAGAAGGTGGCTGCCACCTTCCTGGAGGCTGTGGCAGGGCGGCACTGAGCTCTGCTCAGGGGAATTGGGGTCTGCTGCAGGCTTTGAGCACATGTGCATGCTGGTGCAGGGAACCCACAACTCCTTCTGGTTGATCCCTCCAAATCCAGACTCCTCTCCCTCAACCACTTCCCATAGACTTGTTCCCTAGGACTGTGAAGAGGGACATGGAGAGAGCTGCTTTTTTCTTTGGAGAGCCAAAGAAGAAGAGAAGGTTCCCAAATGGGTTTTTCCTGCCCTGGTCCTGGTGCCTTGTCAGCAGGGACCCCAGAATCTTCTTGTGCTTCAATATGAATGTGATGTACTCCCATGCCAGGGCACAGCAACATGTGGTGCCACAGGGACAGGATCCTCATCCCACCCCTTTTTTGCTGCCTGGTCTTGCTGAGGGGATATCTGTGATGGGATCTCACCCAGCAGCTGCTGGCTTAGGCTTTCAGCTCTGGAGGGATGGGAGCCAGCAGGGATGCCTTCCCCCCTCTCCCAAGATCAGGAGATTGGGGAAATTCAGACCAAACATCTCACTACAGGCCTGACATACACCCACACACAAACAGCAAGGAGTCCTCACAGTGCATCACCCCAGCCTAAATGGATTGCAGGACTCACACCTCCCTCTTGCAGAGCTGACAGTGGGAAGGAAGGGAATGGGTTAATTCCCTGCCTGTGCTGCATTGATCCAGGGCATATTAGGAAAGCTGGAAGGAGGTCTCTCAGCAGGGACAAGTGAGAGCATCACAAAATCCCCACAGTGTTTTGCCAGTTGGAAAAGTGTGAAAAATATATGGAGCATTTAATAGCAGCCTGAGTGCCTGGCATGGCAGTGGCACATGGGGATGGAGTGTCACACTCCCTGGCACACCACAGTGTTCTGCTGTCCTCATGCCCATGTTCTGCAGGATATCCGGAAAGTTTATTGTGGCCCCTTAAAAGTATGTCTTTGGAACCTGGAATTGCAAGATAGATCCTGATGAGGCTTCCCAGGGTGAACCAGGACCATCCTGCCTTTCCCAGGGAAGCTCTGGTCACATGGGATTGCATTTATCCCCTTTCCTTGCTCAGTGGCAGAGCAGGACATTGCCTGGGGTGGTGACCAGAGAGTTGCTGTAATGGGGTGTCCCCAAGGGACGAGTGTCAGTGCTGCGACTTGGGGTTACAAATTCACACAGGAGTTCTTGGCACTCCTTCCCACTCTCCCATTCTTCATTCTCTGTTTTTATTCCCTCCTTGACTCCTGTCTGCCTTCTCCCATACCCCATTCCTTCGCTCAGCCGGTGACACCAGATCTCCTGGTAAGCCCCAGCAGCCAGGATGGGGACCTGGGCTCCGAGTGCCCAGAAGACAGAGGGAACTGGACGGGGCGGCTGGATTTCCTCCTCTCCTGCATCGGATACTGCGTTGGCCTTGGAAACGTCTGGAGGTTCCCTTACAGGGCTTACACCAATGGAGGAGGTACTTGAGCATCCTTTGGAGTAGCTGGTTTCCCCATCACTGAGCTGGGCTGGTGGGACATGTCCCTAAAGAGGTGTCCCTTCCCCTTCTTGGGGCTGGGAAGTAGCACTAGTCATTGTTATGAGGTGAAGCCTCCTCCTGCCCCCCGTGCTAGTTTAGGGCATTAACCACCTGTACCCCTGTGCGGGAAAGGATGTGCCAACCCATCTCTGTATTCCCGGACCCGGAGAAATCCCCAGCTCAGTGCTGAACTGAACACTACCTGACCATCTCTCCTGGTGTCCAACAGTTTCTTGGCCTGGTGTCCTTCAGGACTCAGCAGGGTCAGCAAATTCTTCCCAGCTATGGAAGGAGGGAGCTTTTTGCAAGGCAAGAGTCCGGGGTGATGGTGCAAAGTGCTGGTTCAGAATTGCTTGTTTCACACAATAATAACGGGAGAATGCCACGGTGTTTGAGAAAAGAAAGTTGGGAGCAGGGGGGAAGCATGACACAGGTGAATCACAGCCCTTTTCTCCTGCACTGACAGTGAGCTGTCGCTCCTCATTGTCTTCCACATTTTGGTGTAGATCCCTCAGGACCACAGATATTGAATGAACTTCATTCCCTGTCACAGATGGGCTTTAGGTGTTTGCTCTGTATTGCTTTCAGGAGTTTTTTCCTTGCTTCTTGCAGGAGCTTTCTTGGTTCCTTACTTCATCATGCTGGCCATCTGTGGGATCCCCATCTTCTTCATGGAACTGTCACTTGGCCAGTTCTCCAGCCTGGGGCCACTTGCAGTCTGGAAGATAAGCCCTCTCTTTAAAGGTGCGTGAGGAAAGTCCAGAGCCACTGCAAGGCCTCTGCAAGACCTGATTGATGAGAACATGGACCAGCAGCAGCATTCTGTGACCCTCAAAGCTCTTGTTAGCATCAAAAGTTAAATCCTAGGAGAAAGTGGAGCAGGCTGGACTTTTTGGTTAGCTGTTTTAATAGCTGCAAGGTATCTATAAGATCTGTCAGTCTTTGAGGGTTCTGGATGGCATGATCATTTTAGAAATAGTAGAAATAGTATGAAAATTATTAACCCAGAGCATGAAAGCTAAGCAATGACTGTTAAAGACAAAGAGGAGAATAAAGCATTTAAAAAAAAAAAGTCAAATCAAATCTTTTTATTCTCAACATTACACTGGAGTAAAGTTGTCTGGATGAGGCAATAGATCATCAATACAGAGAAAGCATGTCCAGAGGGTAAAATGGCAATAAAAGGCTCCCTCACCAGGTGAACCTCTGACTGGTTGAACATTTGGCTGCTGAGATGCAGTGTCTGACCCTGGGTTTGGATGTGCTCTGCTCCAGAGAGATGGCTCACTCCTTCTTTACCCTCTCCTTCCTCCAGGCATTGGCATGGGCACGATCCTCATCGTCTCCTTGGTGGCCATTTACTACAATATGATCATTGCTTATGTTCTCTTCTACCTCTTTGCATCCCTCACAAGTGACTTGCCCTGGCAGCACTGTGGCAACTGGTGGAACACCGACCTGTGCCTGGACCACCACGTCATCAAGGGGGGGAACACCACCTTCCCTGTCAACATCACCAACACTGTCAGCCCCAGCGAGGAGTATTGGAGGTAAGGAGAACATGGGGATGTGCTTGGCATCCAGCAAGGGAAAGGATGGGGGTAGGATGAGGGGTGAGGGGTCTGTGCTCCATAAATCACGGCATGGTGGGCACTCATGGCTGGTGTTGTAGGAGCAGTGATGGGCTCTTGTGCTCAGCTGTGGGTGATATCTCAGTTTAGCCACTGGGATGACATGTTCTAGTGCTGCTTTTCTGGCCTGGTGATCTGTTAGACTGAAATGAATCCCATGCCTGGAATGGCTAGGAATTTGCTCTCAAGATACCAGGCATCCCCTCTAGCCTCACACCAACTGTTCCCATTTCCTTGGCAAATAGCTGCCAGTGCCTGGGATTGCTGACAAGGTTATTTTTTGCAGCAGAGGCATTTCCAGGGTCAGAGAGGGCCTCTGGAAGAAGGTAGAGGGTGCTAATGGCTGCTCACTAGTGGTTCTCCTTTCTCTCTAGTCGGTATGTCCTGCACATCCAAGGGAGCTCAGGGATCGGGGATCCCGGGAGGATCCGCTGGAACCTGTGTCTGTGCCTGCTCCTTTCTTGGACTATCGTCTATCTGTGCATCCTTAAGGGAGTCAAATCCTCTGGCAAGGTAAGGGCTGGATGGCCTCTTTTGGGGGGATTTACAGCAATGCTCACCAGTGCCTGCAACTCTGCACGTCTGGGAAAGTGAGACCCACAAACAGTATCTGCTGGACACAGGACATTCCCGGGATGCCTTCCACACCTGGAGACCGGCAGGACTGACACACCAGCCCTGCTGCAGCCCAAGGACCCCAGCACTGCAGGGTGGCACAAAGTCCCACCCAGGGGACGGGGCAGGGGGCAGTGCTCACACTGTGCTCTCGCTCCCAGCTCTCCCAGCTGGCTCTGCTCTCCCACAGGTCGTGTACTTTACTGCCACCTTCCCGTACCTCATCCTGGTGATGCTGCTCATTCGTGGTGTGACCCTGGAGGGGGCCTGGAAGGGGATACGGTTTTACCTCACGCCCCAGTTTGATCACTTGCTGTCTTCCAAGGTGAGCAGGACATTGTGCAGTTTGTTCAAGACATGGAAATGAACCTTCTCCTGCCACCTCCAGTGTGCAACAGAGGCAGTTCCCTTACTCAGGTGTCTTTTCTGACCACTCCCTGACCTAAAATCCTCTCTCTTGGTTGCTCCAAGATCAAAAGTCTTTGCCCCACACCTTTTCTTGACCGCTGTTCCCATGAGGCCCATCCCCATGCCTGTGATTCTGGCTCTGCACAGAGGGGACAATGTGGTCACAGCCTCCCCTAGGTACCAGGACCATGGGCAGGATCATCCCAGCCCCAGTGATGGGCTGGGTGTGGCAGTGGGTTCCCATGGTGGATTTGGCTGTTCTGTTGTTCTCAAGAAATCTCAGCAGGTGGATCAGGGGTCAGCAGGGGTGGCCACCAAGAGACCATCCAGTTTTACAAGGGCATTTAATGCCACACTGGGCTGACTCTAAAACACTCCTGTTAGCCCTTTAACTAGCCAGCTGATCCACTGTGAGTGGTGAGTGTGTTAACTAGGAAAGACAAACATGTGCATGCCTGGGGTGCTGGGGAAGATGTGCCCAGGGGTTTGGGGAAGCAGATTCTCAATGCCATCTTCCTTGTGAGGAGGTTTCCAAACCCCTGATCTCCTCAGAACTGCTTCCTTCCCCCAGGTGTGGATCGAGGCAGCCCTGCAGATTTTCTACTCCCTTGGGGTGGGCTTTGGGGGCCTCCTCACCTTCGCCTCGTACAACACCTTCCATCAGAATATCTACAGGTGGGAGCCAGCTGCTGTCTCGTAAAAATGGTGGGTTGGGGGGAGCCATGAAAACCTCAGACAGCGGGTTCAAAGCCAGCAGAAGTACATGGTGCAACACACAGTCATCCAGCACTGCTCCTTGCAGGAGCACCGTGGCAATACCTGGCAGCTTGCACAGGCCTGAGAGGAACAGAGGCATCTGTGGGAGAAAATTCTCCTAAGCACCAATGCAGAGCACCCTGTTCCAAAGTTTTGGGCTGTGGGTGCTGAAGTCTGAGGATAACTGAGGTTGGAGTTGTTTATGGTTCACCAATGGAGAGGGGTGTTGGACATTTGGTCTGATCCCCTCCACAGGGGAAAGCAAGCTTGGGAGGAACCCACAAAATTACCTATGTCCTTTTGACCCTGGAAAGCACATGCCAAGAGAGGTCCTGGGGGAGAGTCACGCTGGGTCACCTTACTGTGGCTCCTGGGGCTGGCAATGCCTTCATGCACTAGTGTGGGGTGAGAAGGAGAGAGCATGTACAGAGCATCTTATCTCTCCTCTGTAGGGACACCTTCATAGTGACCCTGGGTAATGCCATCACCAGCATCCTGGCAGGGTTTGCCATCTTCTCTGTTTTGGGATACATGTCCCAGGAGCTTGGGGTCCCTGTTAACCAGGTGGCAAAAGCAGGTGAGGCCAAACGAAGACCCTTTCCCCTTCCCCCTCTGCCTGGGTGTGCTGAGGAGTGTCCCTTCAGGACTGAAGGCACCTGAGAAGGTCCTAGTATGAGGGATGAGGATGTATGCTCAGCTGGCCAGGGGGAGGGAAGGGGGGAGACGGGTTCTTGTGGTGTAAAGGTTGAGCACCAAGTGATGCCTAAGGAAGGTCTGAGCAAGGAGCAGGCTGGTTCTCCTGCACCCCTCCACCCCCTGCTGCAGGACCCCTCCTGCCCATCATGCAAGAGTCCTGGCAGGTCCCTGCCGTGGTGCTGCTCTGCTGAGCTCTCCTCTTCTCCATCCCCCCATGTCCAGCCCCTTCACCCCCTTCTCACCTGCTGTCCTTTTCCTCCCCTAGGTCCTGGTCTGGCTTTTGTGGTGTACCCACAGGCCATGACAATGCTCCCCCTTTCTCCATTCTGGTCATTCCTGTTCTTCTTCATGCTGTTAACCTTGGGCCTGGACAGCCAGGTAAGGAGAGAGCCCACTGAGCCAACTGTGGAGCTCAGGCACCCTGAGGGCTCAGGGGACCCTCTCCTCCTGTGCAAGCAGTTTGCATTCATGGAGACCATCGTTACGGCAGTGACAGATGAATTTCCCTACTACCTGCGGCCAAAGAAAGCCTCGTTCTCGGCTGTCATCTGCATTGCCCTCTTCCTGATGGGGCTCATCCTCACAACAGAGGTAAGGGTGTGGGCATGGATCCACTGTGGGGACCAACTAGGGCTTCATTTTAGGGAGAACTTCGATCACGGCCATGTTTGCAGACACGAGTATTCACATCAGCTATCAAGGTGAAAGAGAAACAATGAGCCCGGGCTTGCAGAAGGTGTGAGTCCAAGGGGACTGACACAGTGTTATTCTCATCCCTACAACAACCCCATAAGAAGTGTGGTGTCTCTTGATGTCTCTGCTGTCTTCCCCAGGATCCACAAAAGTGGGAGGAGCTGGGTGGGGGTTTATTGGGATGATGGTCCTGGAGATGCTGGCCATTGTGCTTTGTCTCTGCAGGGTGGGATGTACTGGCTGGTCCTACTGGATGATTACAGCGCTGGCTTTGGTCTCATGGTGGTGGTGATCACTACCTGCCTCGTGGTGACACGTGTCTATGGTAAGGGGCTTGTCCCCACAGGGGCACAGGGAAGGATGGGCTGTCTGTATGGAGAGAGGGATTTAGAGGCAGCAGTAGGGAAACCAACAGACTCACAATGGACCATGAAACATCTCTGCTCCCACCCTTGTTTCTTCTCAGCCGTCACTGGATTCACCTTCCAAAGATCCGTGGGGTGCTGAGACTAGTCCCACGGACAGTACCAGCTGGGATCCCCTCCTCCATCTCCCAGCTGGGAGGGGAGACTACCGAGGAGGATGCAAACCACTGCTTTTGATCAGTGCAGCACAGCCTGGTACAGGCACTGGGCTCTGGGGGAGGGCTGACAGTTTCTGAGTCTTTCTCCTTCTCCTTCCTCCAGGCATAAAGAGGTTCTGCCGAGATATCCACATGATGCTGGGCTTCAAACCAGGGCCCTACTTCAGAGCCTGCTGGATGGTCCTATCCCCAGCAACAATGATGGTAACTGCTCAGCTTGAGGTGCTGGAGAGCCACAGTGGTGCCAGTATCCCTGGGTGACCTCCCAGTGTGACAAGTTGCTCTGCTGGCATCTCCTGCCCCAGGGACCATCCCAGGTTCTGCTGGGAGGTGTCCATAATGTCCAAGCCTTTCTTTTTGACCACGAGACCTTCAGAGGGCTCTGGGATGACCTCACTTTCTTCCCATCCCACAGGCTCTGCTGGTGTATAACATTGTCAAGTACCAGCCCTCTGAGTACGGCAGCTACCGCTTCCCCACCTGGGCCGAGGTCTTGGGCATCCTCATGGGAGTCCTCTCCTGCCTGATGATTCCCTTGAGCATGGTGGTGGCTCTGCTCCGAGAAGAAGGGACCCTATGGGAGGTAGGAGGGGCCTGGCATTGCACCCCAGAAGTGTGCAGGGGTGAGCACGAGCCCCTGCCAAGCCTGTACCTTCCGGAAGTTTCTGTATTCTCTCTGCTGGAGGGGTGTGTTCCCCATCTCTCCTTCCTGCCCACGGGGTGTGAGAGATGGCTGGCACATGCCAAGGCCTTGCCAGCAGTGCTGCTCACCATGATGCCAGGCAGGTAGTGAGCAGCCCTGTGTGCATTCCCACTCCAAAGCAAGCCTGCTGTGCCCTGAGGGGAAGCACATTGTCCCAAATGTGGGGCAGGCATGGGCACCTGGGACTTTGCACCTCTTTGGCAGGAGAGAAGGCAGAGCAAGGCAGGCAGCTGCCAGACTGTGCAGGCAGCCCAGATGGGATCCCTGCACTGAAAGGCTTCTCCCAGGAGCAGGTTACGGAGCTGCTGGCTGCTTACAGCTTTCCCAGCCCTTCACTGCTCTCCCCAGGCTGTCACAAGGAAAGGAGCAGAGCTTGCTGCCCTCCCCAGGCAGCAATTGCCTGCTGTCTGTAACCTGGCTTGACACAGCCGTGGGCACCGTGGCATGGTCAGGAGCCCCCTTGGCCAAGGCCAACCCCTTGTCTGGGTGACTAACCCCACAGCACAGGGCTGTAGCCCTACAACAGCCCCTCTCTCCTGCAAGCCCTCACCACCAGCACCCACAGACAACAACACCCCCACAGCAAGGCACTTAGGCAGAGCTGCCTTCCCAAAAAGCTTCAGGACAAGCATTTGGCCCCATCCCATGCTCATGGGGAGCTCTTCCAGTCCCTGGGGGCTAGCAGAGCACCCTGTCCCCCTGGGAGGTGTGGGTGTGCTGGCTGTGGGGGCGGAGGCAGTGCTGGTGCAAGATGCCCGTGCTCCCTCTGCCTGTTCCCTGCAGCGAGTCCAGCAGGCCAGTCGGCCCACCATGGACTGGGGCCCGTCGCTGGAGGAGAACCGGACGGGCATGTACGTGGCCAGCCTGGCGGGCAGCCAGTCCCCCAAACCGCTGATGGTCCACATGAGGAAATACGGGGGCATCACCAGCTACGAGAACACGGCCATCGAAGTGGACCGGGAGATGGAGGAGGAGGACGAGGAGGAGTCCATGATGTGAGGGGACCTCCCCCCACCCCCAATTTGCACGGGTTGCACTGCAGCACTTCAGGACGGCTTGGGGGGTCTTTTGGGCAGCAGTCGGGAGCTGTCGACCCTGTCAGGTTCCTCACCACCACCCTGGCCCTGCCACGATAGAGCTGCTGCCCATCCTGGTGCCCCTGATGTGTTTCTGTTCAGTGTGACAAACTGTGTGCTGAGTCCATCCGTTCATGTGACAGTGTCTGGTTGAAGTGTCAGGGCTGCCCCGCTCCCACCCTCAGTCCCAGCCCTGCCCCCACCCGTGTAGGGGTGTCCAGGGTGCAGGAATGTCCAGGCTGCAGTAGGTGGGGAGGTGGAAGAGGTTGAGGAGGTCCTCTGCGTTGGTCTGTTCTGTGTTTGTGTGTATTTGACTCCAGTAACCCATAAACACATGTGAGAGAGGCTGTAACATCCTCCATGCCCTGAGGACAACGTGCACCAGTGTGCTCTGATCACATGGAGGTATTCCAGCAAATAACCAGCACTAATCAGTGTCCTCCTAAAGAAATTTGACCTAATAAATGAGCAGTTAAAAGCAATTAAAAAAAAAAAAAAAAAGCTTTATAAACAAACCAACTCGGGCCTTTCCAGGCTTGGAGATCCCCAAGGACCTTGGTGGGTCAGGGCAGCTCTTCCCTGTGGTGCCTGGCAGGGCTTGGGTGACTTGAAAGAAGGGAAGAGGCTGAGTGACCTGTTCTCCATGTGTACAGGAGGTCAGGGACAGGTCTCAGCTGGACCCAGTGTCAAAGGAGGAGCCATGTCCACTGCCAAGGGACAGATCCAATGTATGGCCCTAGCCCTGGGTGCTGCTTTTCCCAGGGAAAGGAGAAGGGCTGGGTTTCAGTTCCTGCACATGATTTTGGGGTAGATCAGCCCAGGGCTCACGACACAGGGACCCCATCTCCTGCTGACGCTGCTGGCCTGAGGGTGCCAGTGAGCTCCTGGGTGGGGCCGTTTGGACCTGACTCTGCCAGTGTCCATCATCCCAGTGTCATGTGTGCCTTCCATGTGCCATTGGCTCGCCAGTAAAACCAGTGTGTGACGCAGCCCTTGTGTGGGTTATCTGGGGGGTCCCCAGCATGGAAGAAAGGCACATCTAGAGGGGCTTACAGGGTTGGGAGGCACAGCTGCCCTGGGCTTTGTCCTGCAAATCTTTGTCCTGGTAAAAGACCAAACACACAAATTGGGGGTTTGTGTCTGGATTATGCATGTGGTTCTGGTGCACTGGATCAAGCACTGTTGCCTGAGCCTCCAGAGTGAATTCTGGCATAAGGCTGCAGTTTTTCTCTTTCCCTACAGTGGAGGAGAATTAATTATTGCCTTTTCACCTCTGAGAGCAGAGGGCCAGCTCCTACACCTGCTCCACCTGCCTGTTCACCTCCCCTTGCCCAGGGATGCTGAGCTCATTCCCGGACGGCTCTGCCCTTCCTTTCCTCTGCAGGACCACCAATGGCTTTCCCCATCCTGCTCCCCGTATCCCACCATGGCTGCAGCTTCCCTGGGCGTGTGGGGCTCCTGCAGCACAACTGTGCATGAAGCACCTTCGGCCGCTGGCCCCCGGGTTAATCATTAGAGTCCGGCCATAAAAGTGTGGCTGATGGAAAGTTCAAGCCGTGGCGGCTGGGGAGTGGGGAGGGCCTGCCATAAACATTTATGGCCCCAATGAATCCCTCGCTCTAACCTTGACACTATTTGCTGAGCAGGAGGCCTCAGGAGGTCACGGTGTTGCCCAGCCATCGCTGCGGGTGCTGGCTGGGGAGCCCGGGCTGGGCTGGCCCCCGGAGGGGCACACACGGGGGTCTCCAGGGGTGATGGAGCAGGTGATGGACCCAAGTGTTTCATGATGTCACTGCCAGCCACAATGTGCCGGAGGAATCAGGAGTGCTTCACACCTTTCCACGGCATGGAGTTGAACTGCTCTGGGCTGACCAAGTTGGTCCAGTCTCTGCGTGTCTCCCAGCTTTCCCTACTCGCATGGTGTCCTGCCACATTCCCCAAACCCCCACTGCGATCCTGGGATCCTTGGGGCTCTCCCTTGGCAGCTGCCATCAACCAGAATTGCGCTGCAGAGTGATGGGAAGGAAGGAGCCGAGGCTATGCCAGGGAATGTGCCTGGGGAGCAAAGCTGGCAGTGTGGGAGGACACCGGGGCAAAAGGCACGGGGGCAGTGATACAGCCGGAGGACATGTGCCCTAGGCCATGCGTGGCTGCCCAGGGCTGGGGGGGGGACATGGCAGCAGGATCATTCCAGTGCTGACACCTGCTGGGGCCAGGGCAGATGGCAGGGAGAGGGGGAACAATGGGGGCACCTCAGGACTGGGGGTGCAGGACAGGGGCTGTGACAGCCCGACCACAATCCCCCTGAGGTACCAGCCCACCTGCATGGGCAAAGCCCAGCAACTGCCCCTGGGAGCCCCCCCAACCCACCCCGGACTCACCTGGGTGTTCTGTACCCCTCACCCTGCAGCACCAGCTCCCCCAAAGCTCCCTCAAACTGCCCAGTGGGCACCTCCACCCCTCCATGCAGCTCAAGCAGCTCCTGGGGGCTCCCATACACCTGCAGCCCCCAGAACCCCGTGCCTGGGAAAAGGGATGCTTGCAGTGAGCTGGGTCTGGGGGGGTGACACTGAGGTCCCCAAAGCCTCAGGAAGGCTAAACACCCCGAGCAGCCAGCGCCCAGGGTACCAGCATCCTGCAGGCAGCAGGATACCTGCAACCCCTGCCCAAGGGTTGGTCCCAGCCTCGATGCTTTCGAGGACAGGAGTGCGGTGACAGCGGGACAAGGGGGTGGCAGACGGTCTGAGTCACTGCAGTGACGGAGAATCACCCGTTTCCATGCTCAGAAGTTGGTAGCTATTTATTGCACTTGAACACCAAGAATAAAACTGACACTCGCCCTCCCTCCCACACCCACCCTACTCCCAGTCCCCCCCACCGCCCTCCCCAAATAGAGCATCGGATTTGAGCAGTGATCATTCTGTTCACAGCCACAGGTTCAAAAAACAAACAAACAAAAAAAACAAAACAAAGGAAAAGGAAACAAAACCAATCCCACCCCCCACCCCCAAGTTCCCACTGAATCCAACACGGTCACACTGCTCAACAGTTCGAGTGCACTTACAAAAAGAGAAGAGAAAGGCTTCAGCTGCAACCGTACGGACGGACACGAGGGGACAGGCAGCTACCCCTCCCCGGGGCCTGATTTTTTGTTACGTGACAAAGCTTGGTATAATCTTAATTATAATATATTTTTTGCAGTCATCTTAAATAAATATTTCCATAGAGATTTCCTGTAAGTATATATATTTTTTATATATATAATATATAAGAGAGAGAGATAGATCTCACTTTTTTTTTCTTAAACCACTGTTAACTTATTTTCCCTGCTTGTCCAAAAAATGTTACAAAAGCCCTAAAATTGTGCAACAGTTAGAAAAAAGGGACAACAACCCAAAGAAGGAAGGAGCCACTTGATACAGTCCCCTCCACATCTCCCTCTCCCACTCCCTGTCAATGACCTGCAGGAGGGAAGGACATTCGGCTGGTGGGACGGGTGGCAGAGTGGCCACCAGCCCCTGCTCTGATGTCCCCACAGTCTGCTCACGTCTGGGTTTCCCTGTCTGGTGCAGATGGGCTGGGACCTGCACCCTGGGACATGTGGGATGGCAAAGTCTCTACCTCAGTGCTGCATCAAGAGCATGGTGCACACCATGAGATGTGCCCTGTGGTGAGGATGAAGGGTCAGCCCATCTCCTGGGGTGGTCAGAGGAGGTTATGGGATCTCCTGCTGGCAGACAGCTCTTGGTCCATGGGGCTGCATGGCTGCCCTCTCACACATGGCACTGTAATCCAACCACAGGCTGCAGGGCCCACTGTGAGCTCAAAGTGGGAGCAGATGACTGTTCCTGCCTGCTCCAACCTCTGGAGATCCGTGGGGGCATCCACTGTGGAAGGCAAAGGGAGGGGAGGCAGGTTTGGGGTCACACAGAAATTCGGTGCCTGGCAGAGGGGGCATTACATGTGGGGTAGGGGGGAAAGCACTCTCCCAGCTGTGACTGTCTGGGGTCAGGAGGGGAGTCCCTGCTCCTCCAGCAAAGAATAGAGACCCAGGAGTAGCCTCTTCATCTTCCAGAGGGGATGCACCAGCAAGATGTGAGAAATTATGATGTTGCCACTGGACCCTGGTATCCAGAAAGGGAAAACAGGCAGCTCCCAAGCCCACCTGTGGAGCTGGGAGCTCGAGAACACCACAGCAAGAGCTTCCAGTCAGATATCCCCTGTGAGAGGTGAAACAGAGGATGAGTTTGTAGGACTTCTGAGTTTGGTTTGACCCAGACAGGCAGGTGACCAGGGCAGTGGGGTTCTGTCTATGCCAGGAAATGAAATGTGCCACAGCCTGATCTCCAGCTTTGAGGCCAACAGGGACAGGAGGTCCATGGTGGTAAACCCCATCCCAACAAGGTGGCCTTGTCCATGTTGTTTATTGGGAGCATCCCTGGACCTTGTCATCCCCAGAACCAGGGGGGGATTGTTGGGGCCAACAGCTCAAAAGTACAGACATAACAGCAGCATCCTTGGCTCTGCCAGCCAGAGAAGATGGTGGCAGTTGATGGTTATTTTTATAGTTTTCCTGCAAGTTTAGAAGAAATCAGGAAATGTGAAGGAAGACAGAGACAGAAGATGTTTTCCACGAATACTGAGAGAAATGGTGGTGATCTGTCAGTGCTTGCTCAGAGATGCTCTTGGGGATACAGGAACCTGCTCAGGAGAAGCAGAACAGAGAAGCCAGGCAGGACAGATCCCTAAAGTGCAGGTGCTTAATGCTGCCAGCATGGGTATGTTGGGAAGTTGGGTCTTCCTTGGTCAGGCTTCAGCTTGACTGGAAGACTAGAATGAGTTGAAACCCCAGACTCCGCTTCCCTCGGAAAAGAGCAGAAAGGTTTTAGGTGTTGCAAGGACATCCAGCTGCCTCCTGGGGAGGTGACCTTAGTGAAACCTCAAGGATGAGAAACCCCCTTCAAGAAGGCACCTCAAAGCCTTCCTGGAAGCCAAGATGTTTCTCCCTAGCAGTGACTGTGGGCTCTCAGTGAAAGGAGTTTGTATCTACCCCAGCATCTCATCTGTCATTCCCAGCAAATCCTACTGCACCTCCTGTCCCATTCCTTTCTCCAGTAGCAGCTGCTGGAGCAGCTTCACCCTCACAGCTCACCCAAAGTCCACACTTATCAGCAGCTTCAAAAACAGGTTGAAATGGCATCTACCCTCCAGCCCCCATGCAGAGCCCTGACATGACCTCCTCTATCCTCAGCCACCTTATACCAATCCCCAAAAACTCTCCTGTCACCTGGAGAGCCTGGGCATCAGAAGGTGGATGGCATTCACCATGGCTGACTTCAGAGCAAGCTCTGGAGAGGGAGAGAGAGAACTGTGAAAGAGCTGAGTCCTTCCTTTAAAAATGAAAAAAATTCAGCACTACCTGACTATAGGAGGAAAAACAGATCTGTAAAAACACCAAAAGTCTACCTTAAAAGCTAATCCTCTCCCTGCATGGATTTCCCTGCTTTGGGGTCATCTCTTGCAAGCCCACGGTGAAACAGCATAGGTCCACCAAGGGCAAGGGGACCCACATGGGCACCCGTGGAGCAGCTCTGTGATTTGCCCCCAGAAAGGCATCTTCTACACACATCACCAGCAGCCATCGCACCGCCGGCACAGCGGAACACACCACAACACTTCTCAGGGCCTGTCCATGCCCCAGCAGTTTGGATTTCTTCCCCTCCATCCAGTGGGAAAATGTTTTTTGCAGTCTGCAAGGATGCAGCTGCGTTTGGCACGGTGGCCGTCCCTGCCTCGACAGAGAGCAAAGCGTTCAAAACCACATAAAAGGCAAAATACACGCTCAGTATTTACATGGAGGAAACATTTCCTCTTTTCTTTTTTTTTTCCTTTTTTTTTCTTTTTCTTTTTTTTTTCTTATGTCCAAAACAAGCAGTTTTTTTGTTCGTTTCTTTGTTTTTCAACACACGCACCGTCTAGAAAGTTAAACGCCATGCAGATGCAGAGAGGGGAGCTAGAAAGTCCCCCAGGGCAGCAGCGCTGCAGGAGCCTCACATCAATGAGTAAAGAGGCTCCAGTCGGAAAAAGAGAATGAGAAACGGAAGAACTGCCGGAAAAACACCCACCCTCGGACCTCTACCTGATGGCAAAGAGGTGAGACCAAAATTTCTCATCCTGGCCGTGTCTTCTGTCCCGAAAGCCACATGCTGGTGGCTCTCCAAAAGCCACCGCTGTGGTTTGCCCTGCAGGAAGACCCGTGGGGTGCAGGAAGGCACCCTGGGGAGGCGGGTGCCCCCAGAGATGGGTGCCTTCACCCATCCAGTGCTCTGGGACAGGACGGGATGAGCCACCACGGTGTGGGGAGGGGGCTGGCAGCCGCGGGACCCCCAGTAGGAGCATCGTAGCGGCTCAACCCCTTTCCAAATGTAAACGCAATGAGAAACAGCAACCCCCCGAAAACCCCCCCTCCCTCCCCACCTTAAACAGTTGAATATTTCTAGTTATTACATAAAGATCCATTTCAGCAAATACTCAAAATCAAGTTACGAAATGCACGGTAGGTTGGTTTCTTTTTCCCTATAAAAAGGCATGCGCTCAAAGGAGAAGACAGCTAAAGGCTTGTTTGTTTTCTTTGAAGCACAATCAGATTCTGCAGAGTTTTGTCACTAAAGCTTGCATTCCTTGTCATCGCTGGAAGGAGTCGTGTGGGCGATGGAGGTTTGTGCCCCAAAATCAGCGGCCAGTTCAGCTGCCCCCGTCCCAGCCTGGGAGTCAGGAGCAGGGGAGTGCCAGTGCTGCACGTGAGGGGCAGGGGTGGGTGCTGGGGTAAAGGATCCAGGCTGGAAGGAGTGTGGGAAGGAGAGGAGAGCTCCAGCTCCCGGCTGTGCCCATGCGGTACTGGGAAGCAGTTGTCTTTCTCCTCCTCTCTTCTCCCAGCTTCTCCAGTCCCTGCTCCAAAGGGAGAAGGGAGGAAGGAGGGAGACCATCCCTCTTGGCGCAGCAGCTGCCTGGAGCCAGGATGCAAACCTACTTGCTCTCCTGGGAAGGAGCCAGCCTGCGCTGGGAAGGGAAAATAAACAGGTAGTCTTTACTCACCCGTCCAAACATGGCCCTCCTTGCCCAGGTGCATGAGGAAAATGGACTTTGCAAATGGTTTAAGTTGTGGTTCCCCATTCAAGGCTGCTGGGAAGTGGGAACTCGGGTCAAGAGCGGGCAGGAGTCATGGCAGCAGACGGGGACCTTGATAGCAGCAAAGCAAAATCCACCAGCACACGGGGAGGATGCAGCACAGAGCAGCTCAAAACTGCCCCCCTCTTCCTCGGAGGGCTTCCAGCAGAGGTGGGGATGGAGGTGGATGATGAGTCCAAGCCCAGTTCAGGACATGTGCTGGGTAGTGAGGGGGCCCACCAGTGCTTTGCAGCCAAGGAGAAGGGCCTGTACACCAGCCAGATGTTTGGGTTTAAGTTCATGGTTTCTCTTTTCCTGGTTCATGCAGAGGAAGGGGGCCCAGCGCCACGACCCCGGCAGGGTGGGGGGGTTTCATGGGATGCTTGCGCTGCGCTGGCAGGGCCGTTGAGTGTGTGCGGTGAGAAGCGAGGGGTTATTCCAGCGGGAACCAAGCAGCAGAGCCAACAGGAAAAGTCCCGTAGGTGAACATGTCGGAGGGGGTCTCCCCTTGGTAGTCAGTCAGTGACAAGCCCAACACAGGCAGGACCACGCTTCAGCTGCAAAACACAAACCAGGAAGAGCCGGAATTTGCTTTGACCATCCCTTTGGCAGAGCATCCCTCCCTCCAGTGCCATCTCACAGCACTCAGTCATCTGCTCCCCACTGCAGATCCTGGAGCAGGATCCCACCTGCTGTGCAGCCTCAAAGCTGCGATGAGCCCGCACTCGGCCCTCCCTGCCCTCCCTTCCCCATCCCTGGATCCTCACAGGGCTTACTGCGGTAGGACAGAGGGCGCGCCGGATCTGTGGAAGTGGACAATTTGCCATTTGCCGTCCCGGCGGTGCCAGATGCGGGTCTCCTCGGACTGGGCAGTGCGGGGGATCCCTCCGGCGTCCACGTACTGCGTGATGCGGATGTAGGCGATGCAGGCGGACTCGTCTCCCATCAGGTGGATGTGGGGGTTCAGGATCGTCGTGTGCACGGGCTTGCTGTTCCGGGACCACACTGGAGAGGGGACAAGCACAAGGGCAGTTAGGCAGGCAAAGGAGTTTGGGGGGCTCTTGCCCAGGGTGGCAGCAATGAGGGAAGGGGAGATGCTTGCGTTAGGTTCTCTGATTGGGCTGAGTAAATGCTGCATGGGTGGGTTCAGCACCTAGAAAGCAGCTAATGCAATGACTCCTCTGCATGCACCTGGTCCCAGCTGACCAAATATCTCCTGCTGGGACCTTCCAGATCAGCTAGAGATGCTCCACAGCCACCATAATCCTATTCAATCTGGTAAGCTGATGAAGGTCAAGACAGGCCCATGGGAGGTGGGAGGGGTCCCTCAGAAAGCAAGGGAGCTACTTACAGTTTTCAAAGTAGAATCGGTGGAAATCCAGGCCTTCCACAAGGTTGCCCAGAGCCTCGGGCTCAAAGGCAGTCATCCCAGGATCACACATCTTCCTGGGGAGCCAGGAAGGGAAGATAAAAGGGAGATGTTATCTCACCACTTCTAGCATGAGAGCCTGAAGAATGCAAATGCCTTGTGCTCAGGATGGCTCTCTCAGCCTGAGGCTGAGGGGCATCTGCACTAGCAAGTAATTCTTGCAAAAATCTGAACTCATCTCTGCATTCTGCATGAAGCCCACCCCACCTTGCCTCCAGCCTCTGACTACAGCCAGGACCCCAGCAAAGCAGGGGGCATTCTCCATCAGTCACCATCTGTAATTAAACCTCCTCAAACACTGCCATCTTCTTTGTAAGAAAGGAAAACAGTAGCGATAAAAAACATATTATCTGCTCTGTATCAGAATATCCCTGCTGTGATTCTCTGAGACAGTGATGAAGACCTGCACTCACTCAGACATTGCTAATTAAATCAGCCTTGGACACAGAAGAGGTGTACTCTGAAGAGCATCAGCTCAGTGAGCAGAAAGCAGCTCTGCTTCAGTACAGCCTGTGGCAATCTGGATATAATAGATGCAAAGTTCCTTCTTCCATCATAAATCACGTTTACAATTATTTCTCTTTCTGCAAACCTCAAAATGGGCTCATCCATGACAGTGAGACCAGAGAGCTGTGGTCAGCTGAGCACAAGAGCAGCATCATATTTGGAAACTGATGTCCCCAGCTTCTCTTGGATAGTCTCCATGTCTCCCCCACCACGTCAACCTGGTCACCCTGCCCTGAGCAACAGTAAAACCTTCTGGGCAGCACCATCAGAGTAGAGACCCTGCTCTGGGAGGCTGAGACCCCACCCAGCCCAAACCCGCGCTGGGCACACTCACGTGTAGGACTCGAAGTCTCCATTGCTTATTGCTTCAATCAGCTGCTCTGTGACTTTAATGATTTCTTGCTTGCGTACTGTTGGTTTAAAGAGAAAATGAAAATAAAAGGAGGATACAAACCAGAAGTGCTGGTGTTACCATATTGGTGAGAGATCTTTATCTCATCAGAAAAAGACCACAGCAGGCTGGGGGACTGTGGAAACTGTCCAGAGAAAAAGCAGGAAAGCGACTTGAAAGAGAAATGTGGGGAAGGGCTCTTCATCACCAGAAAGGAAAGACTTTCAAAGCCAAAGCAAAACTGAAAAACTCTGTAATTTCCTAAAGAGCCAAAGGGTTAATTACCAAATGGCGAGCTGCCCTCAGCCCAAAAGTTGGCACAGGCTGGTCTTGGCTGCAAAGCCTTGCCGAGCTGGGACCTTCTATCCCATGAACTCACAGCAGAGGCCAGTCAGGGCAAGCTGGACCAAGGATGCTCTCACCTCACTCTGAAATGGGAGGAGAGGGTCTCAGCAGGGAGGAGAGCAGGTGGATGACATGGGCAGCCACACCAGGAGATACAAGGAGGGACCACTCAAAGGGCATAAAGCTGTGCAGCTGCTGCCGGGAATTCCAGGCACTGACAATTCATCCGGGAAGGGATGCGCTGCAAGAGCGGGTTGGGCTCCCTGGGATGCAGAAGGAGCTGTCAGAGGTAACTCTGGGCTTATTAACAAGGCTCTGCTTCAAATGCAAATTGCCATCATGCTTAACTCTTTTTTGTTTTTGTTGGCTTTCTTTTTTGTATTGTGACTAATGAAAGGAGAGAGAGCACGTTCCTGGGAGTTGTTCAGAAAGGAGGAGAGGGACTCCCATCACTTCCCGAGCACTGCCTGGCTCTGTGTCCAGGCTCGGGGAGCCCCTCCCTAGGATGACAAGTGTCCCATTAGCTCTCACATCAGGCCAAAGTCCATCTTGCTTTGTGCTGAGATCACTTCATTGAGAGACTTTACAAATTAGCACCGATAAATTATTGCCTGGGTTATTCTTAGAAAGCTGCCTCTGGCTGGCAGGCAGGCGGCAGACAGGGATTTCCCCTGGAGGCTTTTCCCAAAGGGCCATTTATTTTGGAGAGCAGTCAGCCAGGCTGCTATCCCTGCAGATTTCTGTCATTTCGATGCCTGCTTTCAGGGAACATCCCTGTTCATGGGAGCACCCCTCTCCCTCACCAGCAGTGCCCCAGCTGCTCATGGCAGCAACCCAGCAGTGGAACCATCTGAGGAGTTAAAGCAACTTCTGAAGGGCCCCGAGGCTGCTCGATGGTGGTGGGTTTTGCTGTAGCCAACATCTCATGAGGGGTAGTCAGACTAACAACCCACAACCCGCCCACCTCCCCGCCAGCCCACCTTTGGTGTCTTCGTCCTCGATGGTGGTGTTGGTGCTCTCCGATGACTCCTGAGCAAAGAACAGAAAGGAGAGATGGGGTGGTGAGGAGGGTCTTCTCCCTGTGACAGACGGAGCTCGTGTGTTCGACAGCCCCCCGAGTCCGACCCCGCAGCGCTCGACTGTGCCAACAGACAGAAACCAAGGAAAACGCCAGCAGGTCCAACCTGTCCTCAACCACAGCCCTAGGGCAGCATTGGCAGAGCCCTCCCTGACCTCCACTCCTTGTAGCCAAGGGCACAAGGGGTGGGCTGTGGAGGGTCTCGTAGGAACGGCGCTGCCTTTCCTACCGACACCTGTGGGGACAGAGACGGGGGCAGGTCCAGGGGCCATTTGGTGGGTTCCTAGGAGCGTTGCCGGAGGGGCAGGGAGAGGGGCTGTGCGGGGGTGGAAGACACCATGTTGACTGTACAATAAAGAGAGAGATGTACAAATTAACAGCGAGGAGGAGCTGGGATGAGAAAGAGGGGACTGTGCAGGAGTGAGAGAGACCACACTGACCGCAGAGTAGGGAGAGAAATGTACAATAAAACAGTGCTTCCAAGACCCACATGGACCACTGAAGGCTGAGACACAGCTCTTTCAAGAAACAGCTGAGCACTACACAGATTTGGGGGTTAGAGGGGTACTGACCCCCTGTCTCTCTCCGGGAGCCCCATCAAGGCAACTCTGCTAGTGGAGCTAGAGCAATGGCTCTGCTAGCTCTTCCCAGCAGAGCCTTGCTTATGTATTACCCAGAAGACCCCGATGTAGGTTGGCAAGGTGTCCCATGACCATACAGTCCCCGCAGAGGCATGGAAGGTGTTTCTCCAAGGCTCCTTGGACCGATGCAGCCTGCAGACCTGAGTCAGGAGAACTGGGAGAAACGGCATGAGAACCCATCAGCAAGAACCAGGGCTGGCTTCCCACCAGCTGGTGGCCAGCAAGTGCCTGCACCAACCCTGTTAATGGGGTTTGTGGGTGATACGGCTTTGAGGATGTTCCCTCCAACCCCGCTGTCCCTTCTTCCCTACCCCGAGGTAACTTCCAAAAACGGGGGAAGCTGGAACATGTGGAGAGGCCCAGCAATATCGGCATTGAGGAAGACGAAGGACACTCACCATTAACTGAACGCTGGAACTGGACTTTCTTTTCTGGAAAAACAAGGAGAAGAGATGGAACAGGAAGAGACACAGAGTGAGAAAGGCTGAGAGCAGCACATGAGAGGCAGCAGCTCGTGAGGACCCCTTCTTGGTCCTCATGGAGGGGCAAACGAAAGGCGCAGGGGGGCAACGTGTTGCTCCTGTGTGGACGTGCCACTGGCTGCAGTGCTGGTGGTGCTGTGCCAGTTCCCTCCCCGTGTTCCTGCCAGCACCTTTCTCTCCTGACCTGCCACAATCTCTGGGGTTTCTCATCCCAAGGACCTGGTTAGTCCAAAAGGGAGTCACTGACCACTCCGGTGGCTTTGTGACCCACACAGCAATCTCACAGGAACAGGAGTGGGATGGTGAAAATCAAAGGCAGCTCCACCACAGCCCTGTGCCCAGTGTGAATGCCATACTGACTTCTACAGACTCTGGATCTGTTCTGGGTGCATCTGCCTATGGCACTGACTAGTGCTTTGGACCTAGACCAGAACTAAGCTGGCTGTTTTCAGACCTTGCTGCTCGACCCTGCAAGGCATGCATACTGTGTGCGAAGCTGTCTTTAGCATGGATCCAGTGCTTTAAATCAGGACAAGCTTCCTCTAAAGAGAAGACCTTACACATGCACATTTGTCTCTATCCTTGACCACTACCACTAGGCTTTAAGGTTTTGGGTTAGATGACCCCATAGCCATGCTTCTGCTTGCAACTCCAAACTACTTCTGGACTCTCCTTCCCTGCTGTGCTCTGCTCCCCATCTCCATTTTCAATTTAGCCAGGAGACAGGGGGATGTGCATGCTGACCTCATACCCTTTCAGCACCTCTGGCTTCCAGGGAATGAATCCCAGTGGGTGTCAGGGAACACCAATGTGCAGAAATCAGAATCTGCAGTGCCAAATAACAAAGCGTTGTAGCAGCATATTTAACAAGGCACCATCTGTGCCTGCCCTGTGTGGGAAAAGCAGCACACACTGTACAAATCTCCTGGAAAAGTCCACAGAGCGACCCATTAGGGTGCATGGGTGGGCTGCAGGGTAAAAACTGCTGATATCCATTCCCCCTTGTTGATCCTTTGACATCCTAACTGGCTCCCACCAGCAGCCTCACTGAGTTTCCCCCTCTGCCAGTGCAGCTCTCCCCTCTCTCCCATAGAAACAGAAAAACACAGAATGGTTTGGGTTGGAAGGGACCTTAAAGATCATCCAGTTCCTAGACCAGGTTGCCCCAAGGCCCATCTAACCTGGCCTTGAAATCCAGGGATGGGGCATTCATGGCTTCTCTGGGCAAGCTGTGCTAGTGCCTCATCACCCTCACAATAAATAACTTCTTCTTTATATCCCATCTAAACCTGCCCTCCTTCAGTTTAAAGCCTTTCGTCCTTGTTGTATCACTCCATGCCCTTGTTCAAAGCCCCTCTCCAGCTCTCTCATAGCCCCTTTAGGCTCTTGGTCCTCCGTCAACACTCGCCTCTCCTTCGCTGAAACAACAGATGTCCTAAAGGGCAGAGTGAGCGGTGGTATTTCAGCAGGAACCTCATGGGAAAAGGAGCCACTGGAGCTGGGCTGTCTTCAGGAAGGGCTGACAGCTTCTGCTGCCCAAGGACATGAGACGGGGCAGAAAACTGCAGAAGTTTCAGACGCCACAGAATGCAACACAAAGCAGTGACCGCGTCGAGTCTGGACATACAGGAACAGGATGCGACATGGGGCAGTGAGCTCATTAATTTAGGACGGGACAGGATGTGACATGGGGCAGTGATTCCATTAGTTTACAATGGGACGAGATGTGACACTACACAGGGCAGTGAAGGTATCATAGCTGCTGGGACCAGAGGACCTCCCACAGACCCCAGAGCAGGGCTCAAGGGGGATTTTTGGTCCCATGAATGCTTTTAGTAGGTGAGGAACCTCCTCAGGAGGGTGAGTTTCAAGCTCTCTGAGCCTGGGCTAGCCCCATGCTGGTGTTGGAGAGCTGTGTGGGCAGGCTGGAGAGCAGCACCAGCTGCCTGCTGCCCACCAGCACAGCCTTGGGTAGGAAAGGCAGGGGTGGCTGCCTGGGACCTGCCTGCTCTCATGGGGACGGTCAGTCCAGCATATTGCTCCAAATGGGAGCACGACTCTTCCAACAGATAACCACATCACATGGCCTGACTTACAGCCCGGCTCTGAGCAGGCAGGACCATTCCCTTCCCACCGGCCCAACCACCCAAGGCAGGCCTCCAGGCTCCCGCCTCACTTTTCCAGCAAGATGGAAAGAAATGAACACCATTCAGCAGAGTCCTGACATCTGCTGGCTGCCCATGGTGGGCTATTAAAGCTTCACCCACAGCCCCCAGCCTCCCTGTGCCCCCACGAGTGGGTCACAATGCAGGTCCCCTCAGGCTGAGCGTGGGAATGAGAGGTGGGGATGGTTATGCTGAAGGTGGCCAATGCAAGGAAGCTGTTGGGAATGAGTTTGCCTCTGCCTTGTCTTCTCCTCCCCTACCTTCCTGGCCAACTAGGCAGGCTGTCTCACCTCCACTTGTTGGAAAGGGTGCAATAAAAAAGCAAATTCTTTCTCCAGAGCTTGTCCACCATCTTGAGAGGAGTGTTGGCTCGTAGACTGCCTCGGAATGAAGTCTCATGACCTGCTCCCTGCTCACCAGTGAGGGCTGACGATGCAAACCAGCCTCTCTGATCCTGCTCTGAAAGCAGACTGCTCGCTGAGTTTCAGTGATGAGCCAGAAGGCTCTTCACCAAAACAAGCTATTTTGCCACAACAGCAAGTGCCCCTTTTCCCAGGACAAAGCTACTTTGAAGTCCAAGAGGGAGCATCATTAGCAAGTTGGGCTGGCAAATGGTCTTCTACCACAACACAGAAATTTAAGGCTGTCCCTTTCTGCTGGAAAATTAGATTCAGGACAATGCCTGATGAAGCCTCTCCATCAATCTCTCCTTTTATAGCTTAAAAATGCATCTTCTGTTTGCTCTCACCTGTGCTCCAGCAACCAAGGCAGCTCTACCTGTGGTGTCACTTCTCAGGTGACTCTCAGAAGCAGCTGGGACCTCAGAGCAGAAGAGGACAGGCCAGCAATGGCTGGCAGATGGGTTGCTGTGACTCCTATGGGATCTGCCAGCACCAAACCCAGCAATCCTGTTCTGGGAGTCTCATGCTAACCTGACACCATAGCCCAAAGTAATGTCCTCTGAGAGCCATCCAGCCCATCAACTTCATGCTGCAGAATAACACTGCATGGCTAGGATGGCCTGCTGTGGATCTGAGCCCAGGTCTGGAGTGCTGTGAGTGGTCTCAGTCCTTGTAGGCTTGTCCTGTCCCAGCCACTGGATGTGGGAGGAGTGGGAGAGAGACCTGCCATTCCTAGACCCCCGGCTCTGCTGACCATTTGGATTGAGGAGGGAAGAAGCTGGCTGAGGGCTCTGCTCTTCCAAAATCCTGCACCCCTCACGGTCCAATAGTTCAGTCCCTACGAAAGGGTGGAAAAATGTTCTCTAGGTTCTCCCAACTAAGGGTCCCTATGGAGGAAGGAGAGCAGCCATACTGCAGTTGGACTCCCAGAGTTCTGCCTGATGATGGAGGATGTCACCACGCCAGCTCTCCTCTGCTGAGTGATCCCTTGTATTCACAAAGGGAACAGGTAAGGAGAGAGAGGCCCTCACATGGACCATTCCTTCCTGCAGGAAAAGTGACAAAGCTCAATAGCCACTACTATCCACCACATCTCCGTGTCACCAGAAGAAGCTGCTCAGCAGCATGATTTTGCTGCCTCCAGGAGCCACCTTGTCCTGGAGAAGAGTTGTGGCCCCAGCTCAAAGGGACAGACAAATCCGCAGGCTCTGCAGCCCAAGAAGCAAGATCCACCAAGCACCAGCTTGTTTGTAGAGCATCACTAAGCCATTTGCTCTGTCAAGTATCACCATGTTCCTTTGCTGTCTGGACTGGGCAAAGGGGACTGGCAGCATTGCTGAAGGGGTTAAAGCACCCATGTGTCACCCAGCAGCACATCAGCCCTTGGGACAGGATGGGACAGGAACTGGGGCCAGTCCCACCAGCCACAGCAGGACACATGCTGAGCGAGCAAGAGATGAGGCCTCCCCTCTCTCCAGATGGCTGCTGTTGGAGCCTTGGCTCTGGGCTGAAGAGCTGCCTCCCCCGTGCCCTGTCCTGGTCCAACCTCTGCCTCTCCCCCTCCCTGGGGGTAGCGAGGGGCCAAGCGCATTTTGCAGGCAATGAAACAGCCTCGAGTTCCCCCCATGCACCCCTCCAGCAACGACCGGCAGTGCTGCGAAGCCTCCTGTGCACTGCCTGTCCCGGCAGGAGCCCAGCCGGTGGCACGGGGACACACCGGGACAGCCGGGCCAACAGCTGCCCTTTAAAGTGCAGGGTGTCTCAGGGACTGCCGGCATGGCACGGAGACCCCTGGCACAGCAGGGCATGGAGACGGTCCCCTCCGGCACGGCACAGAGACCCCCACCGCCGCCCCAGCAGCCGAGGGGCGGGCAGGAGAGGGCAGCGGGCAGGGGGCTTACCTTCACGCCGTCATTCTTCTTGTTGCCACCACTTTTGCCTCCTGGAGAGAGGAGGAAGGTGATTAGGAGAGCCAGGCAGGGCACCACGACCAGGAGGGCGAGGAGCAGCAGCATGGTGCCGGGCGGCGGAGCGGCGGGACCCCGCGGGACCGGCTGGTGGGCTTCGTTTCGCCCTCTCTTCAGCAACCCCCGGTGCAATCCGTTGGAGCTCAGGGGCGACCTTGCCAGCACCGTCCCGTCCTACCCCGGCGGCTCTCGGCCAGGGGCATGACCCGTCTCCCGAAGTCACGCCGAGCGCTCGGGGCGGCTGGAGGGGCCGGCAGCGCTGTCCGGCGGCAGGAGGGCTCTGGCCGGGGGGTGCTGTTGACCCGGCGTGGTGCAGCGTGGAGGAATGGGCTGCCCGCCTGCCGCCCTCTAATTTTAGCCCCATGCTGCCGGGATCATGTGCTGCCGGCCCGCCGGCCCGACAGCTGCAACCCGCATTTTGACAATGATGAAAAGCAGGCGCCTTCCCCGGTGCCCACCCACCGCTGCCGGCACTGCCCCAGCCCCCCCCGGGCCGCACAAGCCACCCCACTGCCGCTGCACCCCCGGAGCAGGGTGGGATCGGTGGAGCTCAGCGCCATGCGAGACCTTGCACTCGCTCACCAGCCCCGCTGTGCTCCTGGGCTGGGCGCTCTGGTTGAGCCCTTGGGCCGTGCGTGGGACGGGCAGCACGATGAGAGACGCTTTTGAATTTCCTGCCCTTTGATGCTTCCTGTCCACCGCCTTCCCCGGCGCGGGGCTGACACCGGATCCCCCCAGCTGCTGGACTCCTCCAGCTCCCCTCCACAGGTGCTAAATGTGTCAGCACGATCCCCGCACGACAAATGCAGATACCAGCCCTGGCCACAGCCCTCTCCCCGAGCTTCCCTGGCACCTCTGCCCGCCTGCCGCACCTGACACCCGGGGCGCCTCAGCAAAGCACCCTGAAACACCCGTCTGACCCCAAACAGCTGCCACCAGCAGGCTCAGCGGCTGCAGGGCTTGGCTGGTGTGTCCCAGCACTGCAGCACCGCTGCAGGGACATTCCCAGCGCTGGGGAGGGCTGGAGGTGACAGCAAGTGGATGAGCTCTGTAGTCACTTGGCTCCATTTGGTTCTGTGCCTGGGAATCGCCTGTGAAATCCCATCTGCAGCGAGGTGTCCCCAGAGGGAACAGCTCTCGGTGGGGGCACTGGGGCTTGTGGCTGTGCTGAGACCTCTCCAGTGCACAGGCTGGGCTGCCATGCTTGGCCCTGTCTCCCATGCAGCCCTCGGGATGTAGAGAGGCAGGAAGAGAGTGGGAAACCCCGCAGGATCCGCATCCACCTGCCTGGGGAGAGACCTGAGGGATCCTGCTGCCATCTGCCTGCCGTGGCACCCAGGAACCTGTCTGACATTCCCGATGCAGAGGATGCTCTCCCTGAGCCACAAACATCTCCAGGAGGACACAAAACCAGCAGCTTGAGCTCTGGCTGCCCCCAGCACCTGCATCCCCACCCCAGCACGAGCCAGATGGTTGGGCGCGTATAAACCCCTGCACCACTGGAGACCACTGCACTTCAGCCAGACACCTTTCCTCTTGCATCCCACACCAGATGCCAGCCTGGAGGTGCCAGGTGATCTCCCCTGGAGGACTACCCAAAACCACACATCCCCAGAGGCACCAGGCCGCAACCTCAGTCTCCCCGTGACACTCAAGGCAAAGCCAGATCTCCAGGAATCCTACGGATTTGCCCTGGGCAGCCTGTAAGACAAAGAGATGAGTCCCAGAGACAGCACCTACCGGAGAAGTTCCTGGTGGCCAGCATGGTGGTGAGGATGGCTCCCTGAAAGACAAGGAAGGCAGAAGGAAGGGTGTGCTGGACCCCAGCTCTCCACACCCTGCTGCTCCCCCCATCCCTGAGGGCGGAAAACCCTGCTCAGCACCTGTCCCCCAGCCACCTGGCTGGACGGAAACTGGCCCACGGACTGATATTCTCCTCCTGCCATCAAAAGCAGCTCTCAGTACCCAACTCCATATCACCAGCACTGAGGCATTGGGTTGCACGCTCTGAAACTGCCTTCCCTCCAAGATTAAAGGGATATTTAATCTGTGGGACACTTTCCAGTCTCATACTACCCTGCCCTAGATGTAGCACAACCCCACTGACCGGGGCTGGCAGCTGGTGGCAAAGGGACCCACCAGGAGCGGAACCAGATTTAATTGGCATTAAAGCTGCGCTAGCTCAGAGCATCAGGGCAGGGATTGCTCATGGGAGCCACGCAAAGATCACCACTGCAAAACAACACTTGTAAGAATCCTTCCCCTTTTCCAGCTGAGTTTACTAACTAGTTGCTCAGCGTATAATGAGATTACTTTGGACTAATTGCTTACAGTAATGGATTACTATTTGGAAGTGTATGCCTGAACTAATTTCATTACTTGTCTAGCAGAAAAGTAATAATAGTTTATAGCCAGTTTCTTTGCTTGATAATCTTGTTAGTAGCCTGCAGCTGCACTGTTCTGTGTCATGCTGCATTCAGGCCTGGAGCACTGATGGCTCTGGCTACAACACAGGCCAGAGCTGTCCTGCTCTGTGCCTCCAGCTCTGGAGGAGGCATTGTGATTTCCAGAGCCCATTCCCAGTGCCATGCTGCTGGCTGAGGCTGAGCAGCACCTGGGAGATGGGTGCTTCAGGGAGGTGCTCCAGCTGGAGATGGTGATTACAGAGGGGTCCAGGCTGTGGCATGTGACAGCATCCGAGACGGGAAAGCCTGTGGGGCTGCTGGTGTAGGTGAGCTTTCTGCTTGTCTATGGATGACTTTATTCCTTGGCTGCAACGTATCTTGGCCATCAGGCAGAGGGTCTCACTGTGCCTCTCAGACCCATGTCCTGCCCTAAAGACGAGCTTTCTTGACACAGACTCCAGAGGGAAAGTGCTTACCCCAGCGTCCAGTGTGACTCTGCTTTCCTTCACCATGGCTTTCTCTGAGCACTTGGGAACCCCAGACAGATGAAGCCACTACTGCACTCTGTCTCTTTTGCCTTCTTCACAACAGGGACCCCAAACGCCCATCACCCCCATACCACTGCCCAGGGACACCACCCTGTCCCTTCCCACACAGAGAATAAGCCCACCTATGACCCAACCATGCGTTTTGAGGCCAGCTTGGACAGTATGAGCGTTACCTTCAGCTTCCTCCGGGCATTGAACTTCTTCAGACAGTCCACCGTCTCCTGTCTGTGCATGCATGACGCCACGGTGGCACGGTGCTGGGGGGAGAGAGACCTGGCTCAGAGCAGAGCCGGGGGGAAAGGGCTCCCCCAGCCCTGCTCTCACATGCACACACACGTGTGCGATCTCCCGTGGCCGAGGCACGGGCCAGGGCTGCCTGCAGCAGCAGCAGATAAAAGTTTAATGGGCAGTGGGAGATCGAAGCTCTGGAGTCAGCAGGATCTGCTCTGGTGGAGGGGTTGCAGGAAGAACTGGCTGCCCACACAGTTAACCCCTTGACTGACCAGCCATGTTCAGCAATGTGCTCAGGGTTTGCACATGTGGGGTCCCAGGGTTAAGCCCACAGACTCCTCCTGCCTTTAGGAGCTGATTCAGAGAGAGAACCAGCAGCCAGAGCAGTGGGATGAAGTGAAGGGTGGGGGGATTGCTGCTGGGGTGGGTGGATGGATGGACAAACACAAGTCTGCTCCCATCATCTCTGAAGAAAAGCCCCCCAGCACAGTGTGACACCAAGAAACCAGCCTATCCCCACCAGGGCTGGGAACATATGTGTCCTTCCCATCACCAGCTTCCCCAGGACATGCTGTTTGCATTCACAAGCTTTTCTCTGCTGTAAAACCCCAGGGAAAAAGCTGCTCTGAGAACACTGAGAGGAACCATGCCAGGAAACCATCTTCCCAGGATGGAGAAGAGAGCTGGCAGCGTGTGTGATATCACATGCTCCTCGGTGAGGTGTTCCCCCTTTGTGAGCCCCCACATCTCTACAGCTTCAGCCCCAACCATGAATGTCAAACTCACCGATATCCAGGGGTGCTTCAGAGCCTCCGCTGCCGTGATGCGCTTGGACGGGTTTATGGTCAACATCTTGTTGATGAGATCTTTTGCTTCTGGAGTCACTGTATCCCACTCAGGGGAGGGGAACTGCCAAAGCAAAGGGACCAGGATGAGGGATAGCAGGAAGGAACAGAAGGAGCAGAAGCCCCTTTACATTTGGGTTGGTTCTCCCGCAGCTTGGGGCGGGTTGGAGAGATGGTAGCACAACTGGAATGGTTTTCTGACAGTTTTCTGTCAGGTAGAAAACTGGAGAGCAGAAGTGGAAGGAGAAAGTTGGAAGGCCCAGGACAAGACCTATCTGTCCTGCAAATTGGCCCTGAAACATGCTAATGTGTGCACCCTCCGTGACCAGGGCAGAAGAAAGAACCTTGCTCCTGTCTGTCTGAATTTGGCCAGATTGCTCTTCTAGAGCAGCAGGTTGTAAGGCAGGGACAGCAGGAGAGAGGGTAGACTGTGAAAAGGGGGACAAGACAAACCCACTCACATCATAAGCCCCAGCCTTGATCTGCTGGTAGAGTCGGTGCTGGTCTTCATCCCAAAAGGGTGGGTACCCAACCAGCAGGATGTAAAGGATGACACCTGCCCAGGAGAAGAGATGGAATCAGTGGGAGAGAATTCATTGCTGGAGGTAGGAGCAGACCCTGCCTGGGGATTGGTCAAACTCAAGCAGAGAAACAGAAATTAGGGAAACATGAGGATTTGCTCATTGATTAAAAAGCAAAAGGCTTGTTGGTGGATCCATCTTTGTGCTGGTGGTCTCTGGCAGCCACATGCAGACCCTCAAGTGGGTGCTCTGGCAGGCCTGGGTGATGCCTCCTCCCCATTGTGAGTGGAAAAAGGCTCCCCTACAGCTGCAACTGTATGGAATCATTGCCTGACTCCACCAGCACCTCAGGGAAGAGAGACAGCATCTCTCCTGACTGGGAGCTTTGGGTACGTAGGAAGGGGGCTGATCCTTCAGAGAAGGGTGCCGCTGGATTGGGAGAGAGGGTGCTGCTCCGGGGACAGCCCAGGGTAATGTGCCACCTCTTGGGTAAATCCTCCCCCCTGACCTCCCTGAGATGTGTGTAGCAACTGCAGCTCGGGACATGCTGGATGAACAGCCTGCCTCATCCCGCCCAGCCCAGCCCGACCCAGCCGGCTCCCGGCATTCCAGCCCCTGTCTGACTTACCACAAGCCCACAGGTCCACGGCTTTGCCATAGGGGTCCTTCCGGAGCACCTCAGGGGAGAGGTATCCCGGGGTGCCGGCGAAACCTGGGACAGACAGCCCATCACACCCTGCCGGCAGCAGCCCCATCCCCACACAGCTCACCAGCAGGGACTGGTGCCCAGCCAGGCACAGTGAGAGCCAGGAGTCCTGGCACATCCTGACCCAGTGGGACAGGCACCCTCCTGCCAGACACCTCTGTGAGTCCTGCGGGCAGAGCAAACTGTGGCTTTCTGCTACAACCAAATTCCAGGGTAGTCCATAAAGCTGGAGTGCTCTGATGAGCACCTCCAGCACTTGCAAGAGGCTTCCCTCCCCCTGGTCTGCCCCTGTTGCCAGTTTGTCCATCTCACCAGGACATCTTGGTGACTCACAGAGTCCCTGTGGAGTTGCTTGCCTCTTCCCTGGATCAACACTGGGCTGTTTCCAGGGGCACAGCTGGAGCCATCAACCTCCTCACCCACTGTGCCACTTGTGCTGCTGGGATGCTCCCATAACCCGGGGCTCAGGTCCTGGGGATGTGTGTCCCACCTGGAGCCCCCCTGATCAAACACGCCAAGGAAAGCTGAAGAATGCCCCACCTCAGGCCAGTCCCACTCACCAAACCACGCTTGCTGGTCCCCCTCCACCTCGATGGCAAGGCCGAAGTCAGCCAGCTTGACGGCGGCACCCTTCAGCTTGGATGCCAGCAGCAAGTTCTCGGGCTGCAGGAGGAGATGGGGGTTGGAGAGGAGTGAAAGACCCACCAGGGGCTCCACTATGGATGGGGTGACCTTCCCAGCACAGCACGGAGGAAAGTCAGGGCTCTGGATGTGCTTCCCAACTGCATTGTCCTGCTGTGTGTCCTGATGTCCCTGGATCCTTAGAGAACCATGGACTTCAAGGACCTCCCTGCCCCCCTCCTTTGTGTTGTTTCACCCTGGAGTTGGTTTTTGCTCTGTGGCTTTCCCGAAGCCCTACACGTGTTCCTCCCTGCTGTTTCAGCAGCCCTGGAGTACTCTGGGCATTGCTCCACAGGGTTTTGCATCACAGGTGGGGTCCCCCATCCTCCCACAGGCACTCCCCCTGCGACTCCTACCTTCAGATCCCGGTGAACCACCCCCATCTGGTGGCAGTGCAGGACAGCCTCCAGGATCTGCTGGATGCAGTGGCTGTGGGAGAGAGGAGAAAGCTCACACAAGTGGCCGGTGAGGCAGAGTTTTGTCACACACTTCTATTTCACAGCATTTCACCCCTCTGCCCCTCTCTCCATCACGCTGCCCACCAGCAGCCCCTCAGCACAGATCAGTGTCTCCCTCCATCGAAACCCACACACATGTGGGGAGCAGTTCTAACCCACTAAGGCCCCACCAGAGCTGCTGCACAGCCACTGATGGTGAGCAGGAGCATGTGGGCTACAGCTGAGCCTCTGGGATCCCCACTGGAGCAACACTGGAGTGTTGGGGGGGAGCTGGAGACCAGCGGTGGAGCCACAATGCCAGCCCAGATCTGGTCTCCAAACCCAGGCAGAGCAGATGTGCTCTGTGTAACCTTTGCTCCAGCCCCGTTTTCCTGCTCTGCTCTAATGCAGGTGGCTCTTGCTGCATCTGCTTACTTTATATCTAGTTCATTACATCCCAGCTCTGCTGCGTGTGCGAGACAGGAAGGGAAAAAGACAGAGGCGATGATCACTTTTACTCCAAAACAGCTTGTGTGCAAGGCAGAAGGTCTTTATTTACATGTATTTTATTTTATTTGTATGACACTAATAAGTGGATGGGCTGTAAGTGGATTCAGTGCAGGCAGCCCATTAAATGAGATTGCTTTCTGCTTGGAAATAAAGGATATTCTCATGCAGAGAGGTATTGTAGAGCTTACCACCCTTTTGGACACATGTACAGGCTATGCTTAGCCTGTGGGCAAAGCCAAGAGGCACAGTGATATCTGGAGGTTGGAGAAGGGCAAAAAAATGAAGCTAATGCTGTCCCCTGGCTGAGCTGAAGGGGCCAAAGGGGTGGCTGAAATGGCACCCAACCCCCTGGCTCTGCAGCGGGGTACCTGGAAAATGCCAGCGGGAGCGTGGGAGAGAGCAGAGCTTGAGCACATCCTCCCACCCGGCCTGTCTTGCCTGCTCCTCCTCAGTGCTTTGAAGTGGTAAATGCCAGAGAAATGCTTGCAGATGGCTGGAATGCAGTTCCAAGGGGAAGGGGTGAGGACTGTGGGGTGTCCGTGATATCATGGCCCTGGCTGGGTACCAGTCTGGTGTTGGGCTTCCCCTCTGCCTGCCTGGAGAGCCCCGATATCCCCAGCCCAGGGAGCCTTGACATCCCCCAGATGTCCAGGGACCATCTCAGACCAGGGAAACCCAGTGCACTCAGCCCAGGGAGCCCCAACAGCCTGCTCCTTTACAGGGAGGTCAGATGTGGGCCAACCCATCATTCCAGGCGAGGAAGATGCTGCCAGCAATGGCTGGGAGCCATCTGATTTGGGGAGGAAACCAGCCCCATGGTAGCACATGCACTTCTTGGCACAGGAGTTGAGTGAGTTAAAAAGAGCATTTTTGGAAATCTTTTTTGCACGACAGTTCTGGTTTATGAGTATGTGTTGCAGGAGTGGCTGTAAAACACCTCCCAACATGGAAGGAGCTCATGCTGCAGAAAGCCAGGCGTGTAGGACCCTGGGAGGGAGCAGCTCTTGGGAGAAGGGGATATAATCTGTCCCCCCTCCCACAGCCCCACGTGTGTCTGTGCTCACCTGGCATCCGCTTCACTGTAGTACTCCCTGGCCACAATGTCCTCAAACAGCTCCCCACCAGTGACCCTGAGAGAAAACAGGGGGAGCTGGATTGATTGACAGCACACTCGGCCCCGGCAATCCCCCCCCAAAATGTTCCTTGCATGGCAGGAGAGTCAGAGGTGCAGGACAGGGACCTGCCCTCTGCCCGGCTTGGGGGACCCAAGCGTGGTTCAAGCTCCACGGGAAGGGCTCGGGTGAGGTGGAGGGTGTGTCACCCCGGATGGAAGCACGGAGCTGGCAGTGGGTCAGGGGATGGATGCATTGAACCATTACTCACAGGTCAAATATCAGGTAGTGGTGGCCCTCCTCAGAGATGCTGTCATGGAGCCTCACTGCAGCAGAGACAGAAGGGTTATGGGGTACACCTGGCTCCCACCCCACTCCCCAGGAATGCGTTTGCTCCCCTCTGGGCTCAAGCAGGAGCTGGGGAAGGGCACAAGCAGGGCTATTCCTCCTCCCTCCTCTTCTTGCTATTGCCACTGACTGGGTGGGGGTCCCTGCTCACCAGGGGACCCCAGCCATGGCCCCAGCCTGGGGCAGTGGTGAGAGGCTCAAAGGTCACCTCCAAATTGGGAACTGCCCGGGGCTGTGTCTGGCTGAGGTTCCGGGCAGCTGCTGGGCTATCTTGGGCACTGGGCAGGCTGCAGGCATGGGTGTCCCCAGCCCCAACAGGATTAGTGCCTGGGCACAGGGAGAGCTCAGCAGGGTGCTGGGCTGACAGCCCTGGCACCCACAGGGCTCTTTTTATTTTCTGCTCATGACCTTCCTTTTCTCCTTGGGAATCTCCGCAGGATGAGTTTCCCCGTCTCCTGGAATCTCACCCTGCTCATCACACTGAGGGGCACCCTCTCCCCTCGTGCACACCTCACCAGACACAGCCGGGTACAAATCTGTCACCCTGCAGCTGTGTGCTGGTTATTCAGGCTCAGATCCCTGCTCACAGCTTAGCAGGCAGATGTGCAGCAAGGGGAGGGGTATGGAAACAGGTAGGATGGATAAACAGAGCCTGGTCCAGTGTCCTCTGTCCCCCACCTCATATTTTGTTTGATTCCCTTGAGGCTGTAAATGTTTAACCCTTCCTCTCTCTCACCTGGTTTTAGCCCTGTACAACTTTCAACATCTTTGAGAATGTTAGGAATCAAGGGGGAAAAAAGAAACATCAAGGTGAGTTTATGGGAATTTTTACTTCTAGACCCTTTTACTGCAGCTAAATCAGCTGAGCCCTATATGGAAACATCCTCCAGACTCAGTCTGAGCCAGGCGAGATAACAAGCCCCATCGCTGAGCACAGATACTGCACTGTATTTCTCTTATCTCCCAGGCCAGCAAACACCACTTTTCTGGTCCTTCTCCTGTCTCCAAGCTCCACAGGCAGATCCAGCAGCTGCCAAGACCACACTGCCAGCAGTGGCACCACACCCAGCCAGGGCAGAGGAGGTCTGATGAGCTGAGCACCATCCTTCCTATCGGTTTCTCCTGTGATCCCGATTACTGACACAACTTGCTCGTCTTATTTCCCGGTTATCCTTCTCCACTGCTGGCCTCTGCAGACATTCCCTGTGCTACAACATCTGTCTGCTCTGTTTTTCTGACAAAATCCCAGCTTTCCTGCCTTCCTCTGCTGAAAAAGGCATAATTCCTCCCATTTCATCTCGCCTGGGAGGGATTTGAGGGTATCACGGCTGGGATCCCGCAGAAGCCAAAGTGTTCTCAGGGGGATTAGGTGAGTTCGGTGTGGATAGGGCCAGTGTAACCACAAACAGATGGTCCAGATACAGTTCCTTTCTTGGGGAAGTCCCAAAGCCTGTGGCTGCCAGGAGCCAAGGAGGTATAAGAGGGAGCAGCTGCTCTAAATATAACCCGATCCTACAAGTATCTGTTACTGACTGTAGTCAGAGAGGGCTGCACTGGCCAAACCACTCCAGCTCAGTGCTGGGAGCCAAGGCAAGAGCGGGACACAGCTTTGGGACTGAGAGTCAGTGGACAACAGGTACCTGGAGTTAAAACTGCAGGGCTGCCTGCAGCCGAAGTTTTCCCAATAAAGCAAGACTTCCCTGAATGGAAAAAAACTTTGGGAAACCGCAGCTCTCCTAATACATCACCCAGTACTGTGGATGTACTGCATGATCCTGGGGACCTGGCCCTGCCCTTAACTGCCTGTGCACGGCTTTCCATGTGAGGTTTTCCAGCAGGCACAGTGCAGAGCGCAGACTGGTTCCTCCAGGAACTGCAGCGTGGCTTCCCGGTGGGAAATGAAGGGACCCCACGTGTTGTCATGGGAGATGGAAAGACCCCACCTCGCTGCAGGGAAGAAGGGAGAGGACAGCAAAGCCCTCGGCAGCTGGGGTGCGTCTCCCAGTGAGGGCTGGAAAGGGTTGTTCTGCCTCATCCCAAGCAGCAGTGCCTCCTCTTCCTCATGCCAGGCTGCTCTGCAGCGGCACAGCTCGTTCCAGCTCCTGGGTGGGTAATGAGCCGCCTTTGCTGCACGGAAGGGGAGCTGCGAGTCCAAGTTTCCAGGCAGCAGGAGCAGTGGAGGGGCGTGAAGGGAAAGAGGGTGTGTGGGGTGGGGGGTGGAGAAGAGCCTCTTGGGTATAAATAGCAGCGGATTGGGCTTGTTAACATCTCATGCTGTTAACCCCTTCCAGCCCTTGCAGCAGGGATGCTCTGAGCCTGCCAGGTCATGGCCAAACAGCGGGGGGTGGTGCAGGGGTGGGGGACAAGGCACAGGAAGGGGTCAGATGTTTCTGTCCTCGGAAGTCTTGTCATTTCCACCAGCAGGTGATGGAGAGGGAAGGGAGGAAGACAGCCACAGGGAAGAGCTGTGGCCAGGCCGGGAAGCTGGGGAGCTCCAGCTGCATGGCCCAGCTACCATCCTGCAGGTCTCACAGGGTGAGTTCCTCTGGTTTTAGTATTTCCTGCTATTCATGGATTTGCAATGTGTTTCCTTCATGTCTCGGCAATCGCTGCCTGTATTTTGGTGCAAAGGGGATGCTGCACTCCCTGGCAAGACCCCTGCAGGGCAGCTCCTGGTCCCGCCTGAGCAGAGGCTGGGGAAGCCTGCGGGGTCCGGCACCCTGGCAATGCAGGGGAGACCTGCCATGCAGCCATGTGCCGAGACAGATGGAAGCTGACAGTCCTTTTTCAAACTGAAATATTTATGGGACAGGAGCCACATGGTTGGTCCCAGTGGCCCTGGATCTAGCTCCCTGGATCTGCTGCAGTAGCTCCTGGGGAAGGACGGATCCAGGTCACCGGAGCAGTGAGGGGGCCAGGGAGAAGCTCGGCCACAGGGGAACCCTCCCAGCTCCTGACTGTGGGTTGAGAGGGCTGCAGAAACCGCCAAATGCTTTCCCCAAAGCTGCAGGATCTCACTGGGGTCGGCACATCCTGGGTTGCAGCAGAGGGAAGAGGAGCTTCATCCGGACTATCCGCAGGGATCAAGAGCCTGCATCGGCATCACTCTCAGGGATGGAGTTTGGGGATTTTTTTATTTTTTTTTTTTACTGCAGCTTTTTCCCCTCCCCTCTCTCTCTCCTTCTGGCCTATTTTTGTCTTTTGCAGGGGCTCAGGAGTTTTCCTGAAACAGCTTTTCCGAAGGAGGCTACTCTCAGATGGACGGTCGGTGGGAAAGTCTTCGCTTCCCCCCGCCATCGCTCCTCCCACACGCCCCGCGCTGCTGCTGCTGCTCCGAGCTGCAGCCGCTTTTTGGAGCATGCAGAGGAATACGGCACCCGAACGGGGGGAGAGCAGTAAAAATAGCCCTTTGCAGCCTCCTGAGGCTCCGCTTCTCCCTGAGGGAGCTATGGCCAAGTGGGTTAGTCAGGACCTACTTCAATCCCCCCATGGCTGGTGGGGGCCTTTCTTCCCATGGCCCCGTTAAGGATGGTGCTTCCCGCGAGGAAGAGGAGGGACGGCTGTGCGGATCTCGGCTGCCACCGAGCCCCTCTCCTCTGGGAGGGTGGCCGGAGCACGAGGGAAGGACAAGCAGTCCGTGCTGCTGCAGGCAGGGCTGGATTATTGGTGGGGACCCCCTGGCCCCGGCTGGGGCACGGGAGGGCATGTGGGCAGCAGAGCCCCAACAACGGGGGTTGCAGGGTGTGCTTACCAATGTTGGGGTGCTTCAGGAGGCGGCAGATCCGGGCTTCTCGTTCCAGCTTCTGGTGATCTGAAAGAGGCAACGGCCCTAAATTAGGATCTGAGGAAGGGACTCAACTGCTCTCAGCTCCTGCTGGGCTCTCAGAGGAGCTGCCAGCACAGGAAATCTGGGGGGACAGAGCAGCTGGCAAAGAGAAAACCCATTTTTTTTTTTTTTTTTTTTTTTTTTTTTTTTTGCTAAAGAGTAGCAGATCTGGGGACATGTTCAGCATCAGGGCCTGATGGGCACTATCCCAGCACAGATGTAGCCCCCAACCAAGCCCCTAGGTACTGATGCCATGGGTAGTCCTGGGCTTGGGATGATCCCTTGCCCTCCTCTCTCCCTTCTCTTAGCTGAACAATCTCTGATCACCTCCTGAATATCCTGGATTTGCTTGGCTTATCCCCGCCAGCAGCACTGTTCCCTTTTCTCCTATTTTTCCAGGCACAAGTAATCAGAAGGGACATTTCTGGTCCTGTATGGTACAATTTGAGCAACCGAATGACCAGTGAGAGGTGTCAGGCTGAAATGGGGCTACAGGCTTTGCTCCCCGTCACCGTCACCAGCCATTCCACATCAGGGCTTTGCTCTCCTGCATCACAAAACCCTGGCTCTGAAAATGTGCTTTGCTCTGGTGCCTGTCTGCAAAAAGGCAGCACAGGTCCCTTTCCTCAGCTTTTGGCTTGAGAATGTGAGACAAGGGAGCTCTGGGCAAAGCAAGTTGAGCTGAGCCAAAAAATCCTCCACGCTGGGGCACCTCAGAATGAATCTGTAAATCATTTTGTTTCTTCCTCTCCACTTCTGCTCACACCTGATCCAGCCATCCTGCATGGAGGTGCCTGTCTGGAGGAAATTTCGTGCTAGCAGGAACTCAGCAGCCGGGACAAGTGAGGATATAATTAGGGCTGCTTGTCTCTCGGTGCTATCGCTGCTCCCTTGCAGGTTCACACCCCGGAGTCTCGCTCTGCATCAAATCAAACCTGGGTGTCTCCGACCGCTGAGATGTGAAGGTGATACAGCCCCCTTCTCTGCAGGGCTGAAGCCTTCCCCAGGGCTCAGTATCCCCATCCAGTGGGAGAGTCAACCCCAGGTTTGGAGTGAATTTTGCAGCCTGTACTGGAGTCTGTGAGCTGAAGGCTGGAGCAGCCTCCATGACCTCGTTCAGCTCCCCATGGCATTTTCCCCAATGGGGCACAACCTTCCCAGGATGGGATGGGGTGACAGGGAGAGGTTGGGGTTTAGGCTTTTGTTTTTCACAACTAAAGTGGATGACACGGATGGGCTGGAGGGCCAGTGAGGCAAGCAATTCTCTGGGGAAGTGACCCATGGCCGCAGTTCCCCTCCTATCCCACAAATCCAGCTCCTGCCTGCACCCAAACCCCATTTCTCCTCCAAGACTTCCACTTTCTCTCCTGCTGGCCCCTCTGTGTCAGCAGCCAGGAGGATGTCTGAAGAAACAGACCATGGCTGGAGATGTTTTGCAGCTTCTTTTCCCCACTCCTCCCTCCCTGCCTTCCCCCCTGTTTGTGTATGACACAGCCAGTGGCACATCCCCATGGGACAGTGGCTCCTCATGCCCCTCTGGGGCTTGTCCCAGTCTGGGGAAGCGGCAGCACTGCAGAAATGGAGGTTCCAGATCACTGGCAAAAGCAGCTCGTGATTTCAGCTGGTGGAGCAGGGAAAATAGCTCCAGCCAAGTCTCCTCAGGGGGCAGATGGGCACAGAGCCACTGCAGGGACAGCACAAACCCCAGGAGAGGGTGGAGAGGGGCAAACTGCCTGAGGAGGTGAGTGGAGGCAGGAGAGAGGGGGGTGGCTCAATCTGCTGCTCCAGGCAGCCCTGAAATCTGGGAGGCATTTTCTGCCCACCCTGCTGCCAGCTGGGGTACATGGGCAGGAGCCAAGAGCTGAGCCCAGCACTGCACACTCTGCCTGGAGCTCAGCCCTCAGCTTCAGAGGAAGAGAAATGGTCCACATCCCAGAAGAAGGGCAGGGGTCAGTGCTGGAGGAGCTGGGGAGGCTCAGTGTTGGCGCTGTGCCGCTTCAGCAGCATGGTGGGAGGGAGATTGCAACATGCTGGTTTAATTCCAGGTCAGAAAGGAGCTTGTCACCATTTTCTGCATTTCAGTTTTGCCTTCGGAGGTCAGCAGTGGCAGGAGGGAGAGTCACCGAGGGAGGTTAATTAAACTCTCCTGGCAGGGTGCTTGCTCCCGGCACCCATCCTGCACTCCTGACAGCCAGAGAGGAGCTAGAGTGGGGACACAGCATCTGCTGCCCCATCCTCTCCATCCTCCTCATCACAGCTCCTCTGCCACATTCCTGGGGGCAGAGGGGACTGTGCCTTGGGGCAAGGGCTGACTGATGCTTTGCTGGCTCAGCTCAGCCTCAATTCAAGGAGCGTCCAGGATAGACCCACCAGGACGGACCCACCAGCACCTCTTCCAGCAGCAAACAGCCAATGTGCTCCACCAGAGTGATTAACCAGATGGCAGCGAGGGGTGAGGGTCCATCTACAGTTAGAAATGAAGTCAAACCCCCACTGGAAGGGACATTCTGATTTCACTGATGTAGGTATATGAGTAAGAAAACCTGCACCACCAAGAATGGGGATGGGGGGTCAGTGAGGGCCCTCTCAGAAGGTGATGCTTCCAAAATAACTGTGCTACCCAGCGCCTGAAGCTGGCAGTGGTCTGGCTTGCTGCAAGGCTGTCACCAGCATTTTGCTGCAGAGTGGTGGCAGATCTCAGGAACAGAAATGGGGTCCTATGGGACAAATTCCTCACTCTGTAAGCCCTGGTTGCCTCTCACCTCCCCAGGAACATCCCCAGCACCTACCTCGAGCAGAGAGCTTCTTGGTGTTGATGATCTTGGCTGCATACTCTTGTCCTGCCAACACCTTCACACATCTCCGGACAATGGAGAAAGCGCCCCTGGGAAGAGAAGAAGCCACAGGGAGAGGTGAGGGGTGTGGTGTGGGCAAGGGCACAGCTCAGCCCTGATGTAGGATGAGAATGGGGATGTGGATGCTGGCTGGGGAAGGGATTTGGAGAAAACATTTGGAGGGATCTCAGTCAGCTTTCCTTGCACCGCTCTCCTTGGGAAATGATGGGTGCAGGCACGTGCAGACCTAGGGGTGAATGTGGGATTCTTCCCTCTGTGCTCCTCTGGGACACTCCAGGCATTGTGCACCTTTACTCCTTTTCCTCCCAGCTCTGCCCTACCTGTCCCCAAGAGAAAAGGGGCAATGATTTACCGGGGGCACTGGCTCCTGAGGGACACTGTGATGGCTGCGGCTGCCACGAAGCTCTCGGCCACGTCAGCCTGTGTGGCTCAGCCTGGTCTAGACCTTGCAACCACAGCAGCACTTGGCAGCTGTGAGCAGTGCCAGGTCCCCCCAGCTGCAAAATTGCCACCCAGGCAGGGGTAGCCCAGGGGATCCTGTGACCAAGGACCCTGGAGCCAAGCTGGACAGGGACTGATGCTGCTGTGCTTTGCACACTCATGAGCCAACGTGCAAGGCTCTCCTGGGATCTGGCAGGTAAATGAGCACGGCTGCTTGGGACGCTCCAAAGACTCCCCTCAGCCCCCGTTCTCCATACCCCGAGCCCTGCCAGCTCGTGGCACTGCCAGTGCCGGTGTGATGCTGGGAGCTGTGGCACGGCACACACACACACACACACACACACACACACACACACACACACACAC